GAACTCCCCTCATGTGTGTGTGTATGTGTTAGACTGTAGGATTGTATAAGTGTGAGCATGTGTCTGCATATGTGTGTTCAGCCAAGTAAGGGCTTCAGCTGTAATAAGCGCCTGGTGTTTCTGTGGGTGTGGTCTTTCTTGTGGTAAATACCCCTGGGCAGAATCTGGAAGGACTTAGGTGCCAGATATATCTTGTTCAGCCAGGCAAATCATTTTTCACTTGATTACTGTAAGAGGGTGTTAAGAAGAGGCTGGCACTAAGGGTAAGGAGGGTCTATTTCTCTCTCCAAATGAAGAATGATTCCTCCTTGACCCTTCTTGTTTCTTCTATAGTTATTACTTCACAATAATCATTGGCAAAGTTGGAAGTAAATTATCCTTATGACTCTTATGGTTATATGGTTATATATCCTACTAGTGGGTGTTCTTTGAGCTCAAGGAAGTGTGAATTTTTACACAAAATTCATGTTCTTAGAATAAGGAAGAATATTACATTGAAAATACCAGTTAATGTGCCAAAAATTTGTGTCACCCCTATTAGCAAGATCAACTCTGGAGAATATATTCTGTTTGAAAAAGAATGTGACAGACATACAACATAACAAAACAAGGAAAGAGTCCATTAGAGAGGGTTGGGAGAGAAGTATCACTATTCCTAAATCTGTATACATGAAATATATAAATTTGTATACCTTAAATAAAATTTAAAAAAAAATTAAAGTCAAGGTGAAATAAATTTAAAGCACATTTGCAATGGTAACAAGCAAGAGAATTCAAATAATTTGGTCCTAAATACTAAAAATGCAAGCAACTATGAAACAAATAAAATACCAAACAGAATATAAAGTATTTTCATTAGTTTCTTTAAATTATAGTTTTAGATAAGAGTGCAGTAGTTTATTAGAAATATTTGGTTCATTAGCAATTTCTTCCTCTGTAGTTCACCCTCACCCTTCTCTATGGATTGTATGCTTAATATCATCCACTTTTTTTTTGTTGCATTTTTTTATGTATTCCTAAGACAAGCATGCCTTTTTGGAATACATTTACAGTAACAAATTCTTAACCACATGCAATGAGGGCTGCTTGGTACCTGGTCCTTGATCACACGTCAAGAGAGAATTCAGGAGAGAGCTAGAGCATAGCAAATGGTGAGCACCAAGTGTTTTATTGCAAAAGCAGACAGGAACTCCAGAGGGTGGGCCTTCCACCTTCCTCTCTGCATTGTGCTTAACATTAAATGACCTGTTCATTAAAAAGGGAAGATTATTCTAAAGAAGAGGAGATGCATTCTAATAAAGGGGAGGAAAATCAAGGTTTTTCTGGAAAGTAGGTGGGTGGAGATTTCCTAGAATGCAGTTCCTACCACTGTTGGCTCTTTATGTGGCCCAGCATTTGCTGTCACGGGGAGTGGTAGGTGTTTCATTTACCATGCTCACTTACTACAGAGTGTATAGTGAGCTACGCATCAACCTAGATCAGCCTTATCTCCCTAAACTTGTATGAGCTGAGTTCTAGCAGAGGGTCCATTTAACTTCAGATTGTGGGGAACCAAGCCCATATTCTGAATCTTGAGATAGCAGGAACTTTTATTCCCAGGTGCCTCAACTATTTTCTCTGCCTCCTTGTCTCAATATGTTTAAAGCTAAAGGAAAAAAAAGCAACAAAATTATATACAATAATCACAAGATTGTATAAAATAACAAATCACTTAATCATTATTTTACTCAACAGATGAAGTATTGGAGAGGAACCAGGTGAGGAACTTCAGAAAATTCATGGAAAATGTGTAGGAGAGCAAGAACCAGGATTAAAACTACCTCTAACTAAAACTTTCCACTACCTGACTCATTCATGTGATGCTAAATAAACTGCTTCTACTACTTGCAGAAGTAAACAAATCAAAAAATAAAAATGTTAAAAACCTGTGTATATGGATTTAATAATTTTTTCACCAAAACGAGCTTATCTTTGATTTCCATTTTCCATGAACTTTCTGAAATTCCCTCATAAGAAAGTACACATTAAAATTTGAGACAAAAAGCTAAAGGAATAGGAAATTAAAGTAGCAAATTGAGGAAAAATAGAATTAGGTGGGCTTTAAAGGGCAAATAATAAAACAAAGCAACAACAAAAGACTCATACAGTGGGGTGCAAACTGCAGCATCCCCCAGAGCCCCTGCCTTGCTAAGCTGATTGGCTCCTGGTACTGTTCACTTGCTCCCTGGGGCTTTTTCTGCTCTTCTCTACTTCATTTGTTTACAATAGATGATAGCTAAAATGGATAACTTCTGAGTAGCAACTATATATCAATATATCATGTAAATATTATTTTAAAGCTTTTATATGTATACTAGGTGTCTCAATATACCCTTAATGTATAACATTTCTTAAAGGTTTATTTATTTTAGAATGGGCTAAGCCTTTACCTTTGGCACCAGCATCCCATATGGGCGCCGGTTCAAGTTCCAGCTTCTCCTCTTCCAGTCCAACTCTCTGCTGTGGCCTGGGAAAGCAGTAGAAGTTGGCCCAAGTGCTTGGGTCCCTGTACCCATGTGGAAGACCCAGAAGAAGCTCCTGGCTCCTGGCTTCCAATCTGCTCAGCTCCAGCCATTGTGGCCATCTGGGGAGTTGACCAGCTGATGGAAAACCATTCTGTCTCTCCCTTTTTCTGTCTGTAATTATACATCTCAAACAAATAAATATGCTTTTAAAAAATTCATCAACATATATTCTGACACTGTGGTGCAGCTGGTAAAGCTACTGTCTGCAACGCTGTCATCCCCTGTGGGTGCCGGTTCAAGTCTGAACGGCTCCATTTCCAATCCAGCTGCCTAATAGTGAGCCTGGGAAAGCAGATGAGGATGACCCAAGTCCTTGGGCCCTTGCACCCATGTGGGAGACCCAGGAGAAGCTCCTGGCTCCTGGATCCGGACCAGTCTGGCTCCTACTGGTGCAGCCATTGAAAATTGAAGCTATCAGAGGGCTTCTAATTTTCCCTAATCTGGAAAAAAGGAATTACTTTATAATATGGCTCTTAAAGGAATGAAAAAAATGTGAAAAAAAAAAAAAAAAAAAAAAAAACAAACCAGTACACTGGGATAAACTCAGGACCTTAAGGAAAATCCAGCTCTCTTCTAAGGACAATGGATTGAAGCCTTTAGAAAATAAGCCAAAATCAGGACCAGCATTGTGATACAGTGAATTGTTGCTGCCTACAATTCTGGCATCCCATGTGAGCACTGATTCAAGTCCGGGCTGCCCATCGTATGGTCTGGCTCTCTGCTAGTTTGCCTAGGAAAGCAGCAGAAGATGACTCAAGTGCTTCAGCCCTTGCCATCCTTATGGGAGACCCAGATGGAGTTCCAGGCTCCTGCTTCAGTCTGGCCCAGCATTGGCTATTGCGGCCATTGAGGGTATAAACCAGCAAAAAAGATCTCTCCCTCTTTGTAACTTTCTCTTTCTCTGTGTCTTTTTCTTCCTTTAACTCTGCCTTCAAAATAATCAATCCTAAAAAAAAAAAAAAACAACACTTAGAAAAAAAACAACATAGACCCAAGTCTCAGGCTTGAAAAGTACTACGGGGCACTCACTCAAAGCCAGTCAGCTTCTGATATTAGGAGGAAACTATGAAAGCTGCCTGCTGGTCCTTAACTTGTAATTATAGCCTTTGGAGCCTTTAATAACAGAGACAAGACTGAGAAGAAAGGCTGGCGCCGCGGCTCACTAGGCTAATCCTCCGCCTTGCGGCGCCGGCACACCCACCGGGTTCTAGTCCTGGTCAGGGCACCGGATTCTGTCCCGGTGGCCCCTCTTCCAGGCCAGCTCTCTGCTGTGGCCAGGGAGTGCAGTGGAGGATGGCCCAAGTGCTTCGGCCCTGCACCCCATGGGAGACCAGGAGAAGCACCTGGCTCCTGCCATTGGATCAGCGTGGTGCGCCGGCCACAGTGCGCTGGCCGCGGCGGCCATTGGAGGGTGAACCAACGGCAAAAGGAAGACCTTTCTCTCTGTCTCTCTCTCTCACTGTCCACTCTGCCTGTCCAAAAAAAAAAAAAAAAAAAAGACTGAGAAGAAAAATTGGACTCAGGGAGACAGACACAAGTCCAGACTTCTTGCACTGGTCGTATCTTCACTGCTATCCTGGGGACACCTAGGCCAAGAAATGTTCAGAGGGACAGGACAAGTCAGGTAAGAGCCACCATCCTATGCAGTGTTCCCATTGTAAACCTCAAGGCTATTGGGAAAAGGACTGTTCTTACATGTGGGGAAGAAGGAAGCCCATTGGGTCTTGCCCCTTATGTGCCAGTGTAATGGCCACTGGAGGCAAAGCTACCCAGAGTCCCAAAGCAGGCCCTGAGTAACTGGAGCCATGTGGTCAAGACTGCTTAGAACTAAAGAGGGCCGGCACCATGGCTGACTAGGCTAATCCTCCACCTGCGGCACTGGCACTCCAGGTTCTAGTCCCAGTTGGGGTGCTGGTTCTGTCCCGATTGCTCCTCTTCCAGTCCACCTCTCTGCTGTGGCCTGGGAAGGCAGTGGAGGATGGCCCAAGCACTTGGGCTCCTGCACCCACGTGGGAGACCAGGAGGAAGCACCTGGCTCCTGGCTTTGGATTGGCGCAGTGCGCCAGCCATGGCGGCCATTTGGGGAGTGAACCAACGGAAGGAAGACCTTTCTCACTGTCTAACTCTGCCTGTAAAAAAAAAAAAAAAAAAAAAAAAAAAAAAAAAAAAAAAAACTAAAGGGGAATCAGACTCCACTGGTGCCTACAGAATACCTGGTCAGCTTCATTTTCTGCCGTTTTCTTTTTTTCACTTCTAGGACTCTGATGACATGTATATTAGGAATTTTGTTGTAGTTCCACAGGTTTTCAAGGCTCTATTCTTTCTTTTTCCTTCTATGTATTTTCTTTCTGTTGTTCCACTGGGTAATTCATAATGTTTTGTTTTCCATTTTATTGATTGTGTACTCTTTCTTCCAATCTTTAATTGAGTCTATCAAATGGAAATTAAATTTTGATCATTGCATCTTTCAGTTTTAAAATTCCCATTTGTTATTCTTCATATCTTTTATTCCTCTGTTAAGGATTTCTCCCTCTTTTTAAAAACTTACTTCACCTGTTGAAAATGTATTTTTAATTTCTTGTTAAAATTTTTTGATGGTTGCCTTAAAATGTTGGGAAGATAATTATAACATTGGTTATCTGTATATGAATATCTGTTGCTTGTCTTTTCATCCAAGATTTTCTTTGCTCATGTTTATAAAAAATAATTTTAATTGACCTCTGGACATTTGGGGTACCATGTATTAATGAAATTTCAAATTCACTTAAAAAGTCTAATATATGTGTATTATGGAAAAAGCAATGGAAAAACAAAAATACAGAAGAAAAACAAAACTTACAGACAATATCTAGGCTTTGACAATTTGCTGCCAAACCAAAGATTAACAATTTTCAAGAAATTAGTATCTCCTGTTGTCATGTGCAGGTACCTCAGCATTACATTCTCAGTGAAACAGATGGGGAGGAGGAGAAGCAAACACCAAAGCTATAGCAGTTTAGGTTGTTTAGAATGTGTCTTTATTTTCTGAGTTGCAAGACTTTTATTCCCTGATGCAGAGATTTGGATCAACTTGTGACTGAGCATTCTAAGTGACATGCAATAAACCAGATATGTTTTTTTATTACTCAGGTCTTCCCTATTAGTCAATCAAATCAAAGAATCCTGGGACAACCACAGCATTTGCTCTCAATAGTCATCAAAATTTGGAGAATTTTAATGAGAAAAAATCTAAAAGACAAAGGATAAGTTTGGGTTAATGAATATTTTTTCTGATTGAAGTTTCTGTTAAACTGACACAGGCATGAAAATTAAGATAATTTTCTCTTAGAAATAGGCATAAACCCAACTAGTTTTATAATCATCCACTAATGCATCAGACTGTCATAAACACATTTGGAAAATAAATACATCTACATGAACATTGACACACACACACAAACTGCTGCACTCTATTTTTGTACGTAGTCATTTTACTAGCTGAAGTGACAAATATTTGTGTTAGTGTTTTGAACTCTTGGAGGGGCAGAGGAAAAATGAATTTTGTCTCATTACAGACAATGCCCAGTCTAGTTACTATTTAAAGTTAATAGATATGTTAAGGTAATTGTGACAAAAATAATAAAAATGATCATTTAATTTCTTTCATGTAGTCAGAAATCATATATATATATATATATATATGACTTTTTAAGGGAAAATCATAGATAAGGCCTAGAAATGGATATGGCAATTGTCAGATAAAGTCACCTCAATGAGGTCAGCAACTATTTTAGCAAAAGAGTTTAATTCTTTCCATATATAAAGTGATTATTTTCAGATATAAAATTCTAAGCCATTGAATACTTATCATTGACTAACATTACCAATATTTATTGTTAGAACTTACTGCCTATGTCTCCTACTTCACTTTTATCTCTTTACTTCTATTATATTATTCACTCAATCAATATTTACTGAGTCACCAGTGAAATATCAGTTTATAAACAAAAACTATGCTTTCAAAATCCAACACTCAGGGCCAGCGCTGTGGCATAATGGGTAAAGCTGCCACCTGCAGTGCCAGGACCCTGGCTGCTACACTTCCTTTCCAGCTCCCTGATAATGTGCCTGGGAAAGGAGCAGAAGATGGCTCAAGTGCTTGGGTCCTGACTCCACGTGAGAGACCCAGAAGAAGCTCCTAGCTCCTGGTTTCCTCCTTGCTTAGTCCTAACCATTGCGACCATTCAGGGAGTGAGCCAGTGGATGGAGGATCTCTCTCTTTCTCTCTCTCTCTCTCTTTCTCTGCCTCTCCTTCTCTGTAACTCTGACATTCAAATAAATAAATATGTTTTTGAAAATCCAACATAAAGTTACACAGAAATAGTTCAATGAATAGGAAATTCAGAATTAGCTTTTATTTATATGAGAAGATGCAACTCAAAGGGCATTACAATTCAGTGGGAATAAAAGTAGTTGATAAGTAATGCTAGAAAAATGTTTATCTATCTCAGAGAAAATAGGATTGAACTTCTCTCTCTGACGTTGTGTATATAAATATGTTCCAGATATATAAATAATATAAGGTATAAAAAGAAATGGAAAAAAATACAGGAGACTCCCAGGCACAATCTTAGGCAAAAGAAATACTTATTAGATAACTGAAAAAGAATTAAATTTTATGAAAGAAGACATAAATATATATAATTATATAAAAAATGAAAAGTGGCAAAGTTTGCTATTAACATTTTAAAAAGCAAACAACAGAGTTGGAAAGAAAGTAAAGCTAGATAAAAGAAATCTGTTGTTTATAACTTAAGTGAGCACCTTACAATTGATAAGAAAAAGAAAATAATTTATTAAAAATTGAATAAAGTTATAAGGAGATTTCTCCCAAAATAGATCCAAGTGACCCTAAGTAAGGTAAAAGATGCCTACCTGTGCTGGTAGTTAGGGGAAAGCAAATTAAAGCAACAGTTCCCACTTTATAGCCACTCGACCTGACTAAAATGTTAATGCTCATGTGATCTAATACTGCAAGAGTGAGGATAAGAGCATACTCTCATATCTTGTATATGAGCAGAGAGAAAACCTCTAAAATGCATACTAAATTTTTAGCAAGGTTTATTGTGAAGGGTTGCTGTAAAGAGTGAAGTAGAAGAGAGAAGGTATAGGAGACCCCATCAAAAAAAAAAATATGTTCCCATAACAGACATGCATGTGATTGCGGGTATGCATTTAATTTAAGTTTTGCATTCATTATAATTCATTTCTTTAAATGTAAAGAAATTATATTCATAAAGTAGTACAAATTATACAGAGAGCCTATGACAAAGTACTTAATATAATCACTTAAAAGACCAAAAGAAATGTACTATATTTTACATCTGAGTAACTGAGAATGATCCCATATTGACATGAGAATTTTTGACAACAGACAATCATTTCCCACATGTAAAAATTTTAGTGCTTACCTTTTAGTGGATATCTAGGGTATATACAAACACAAATAGGAAAATGTTGAACTTCACAGGAATAAAAGCAGGCTCATTGCCCAGTAGACACTGAAAAGTTTTTATATTCTGATCCACCTTTCAATCTTCCATTGTGAAACTTGAAAGCTAGTTTGATACTGATTGACAACCAAACTTGTATTTTTGAACCTATCTTCTATACTGCAGTTGAAATCATAGAACCAACCATGTTTCATAATGCTTTTAGAATCTTTAACATGATTAGAAGAGATACACACAAATTGCTTACAAGCCTTACATGCCATGCCTGGAGGCTACACACACAACAATCAAAAGTGCAAATACAGAGAGACAGAGAAGGAGGGAATTGAACACCGCTTTTACCTGGATCCTGGGTCTGGAGTGTTATACAAGTGGGTTTCCTATAAGGAGTTTTTTTTTTTTTTTTTAAGATTTATTTATTTATTTTGAAAGTCAGAGTTACAGAGAGATTGTGAGAGACAGAAGATGTTTCATTTGTTGGTTCACTCCCCAGATGACTGCAACAGACCTAAGCCAGGAACCCAGAGGTTCATCCAGGACTTCCGCATGGGTATATGGGACAAAGCACTTGATCCATCTTCTTCTGCTTTTCCCAGGCCATTAGCAGGGAGCTGGAGCAGAAGTGGAACAGCCAGACACAAACTGGTACCCAGATGGGATGCTGGTGATGCAGGCAGCCACAATGCCAGCCCCACTTATGAGGAGTTTCATTGAGGGGATTTAGAGCAAATAGTCAGATTTCCATGTGATTACTCATATTTGCACAGCCAATTATGAGGGTCAGTGGGCCCATCAACCAGGCTGCTTCAAGCTGAGCCATGGAAAATCAGGCAAATTCTGGATTGACCACACTGAGGAACTGGGAGGGGGTATAGCTCAAGATACTGTTAAAGGTGACTGAATCCACAGAAGTGCTGTATTTTGATAGGTTGGAACTTAAAAATGTTAAACAGAGGGGCTGGTGCTATGGAATAGTGGGTAAAGCCACCATCTGTGATCCTGGCATCCCAGATGAGCAACAGTTGGATTTAAAGTGATCAAGCTTTGTTTTTCAAGTAGTTACTTTGCCAAGAAGAAGTTGCTGGGGCGGTAGTTCCAAGACTTCCTTGCAATGCAACACTCTCCTGAGTTTGGCCAGGTTTTGCTGGTTGGGCTGAAGCACAGATAGGGTCATAGGCATGATAATTCATAGTGTTTTAACTGAAGTACTATCTTCTCCCCACACTTGATTGCACTGCATAAGAAGATTGGAATACCTGCTGGTGGTGAATATTTTTACCTCAGTGGCCTGGTTTGAATCTGAGGTACTAAAGCTTCCCTCTTTCCTATTATTCAGCCCTCTCAATATCACTTGTCTTTTATTCTGCCATAAAAGAGTAACTAAGGCTGTTTCCAGTGTTACAAACTTATGCTGCCTGAGATATGGTGAGGTCAGACACAAGCCAAGAGAGAGAGAGACTGAAGGTTTGAGTCCTGTGTCCCACCATGGAGTGTCTAGGTTCAGTACCTGGCTCTGTTTCCTGACTCCAGCTTCCTGCTAATGCAGACCCTAAGAAGCAGTAATGATGGCTCAAGTAATTGGGCCCCTGCCATTCATATGGCAGGTTTGGATTGACCTCCCAGCTCTCAGTTTCAGTTTGGCCAAACTTTGTTCACTATGGGGATTGAGGGACTACAATAGTAGATGGAGTTCTCTCTCTCTCTCTCTCTCTCTCAATTCCATCTGCTTCTTCAGTCCTCCTTTGGAACAGGTAATGTCTTCCATAGCAAGGCATATGCATGGAGTATATATACAGCTCACGGTGTGTTGGCAGAACTCTGGGGGAACTCTAGGGGTGTCTTTAATGAGACTAGGCAATCCTTTGGTACCAGGAAAGCAGCTGATTAAGAGTACATCTGTGAGAAAAGGCATTGCAGTGTAGATGGGGTATCAAGGGAGTGAAGTCAAGGTATCCACCATAAAGTACAACCTGACAGCCCCATCTCTGATGCATGAGGAAGGGTGAATGTAAGTGACAGGGAGTGAGTCATGAGTTGCAAGGAAATAACAGGCAGATGTGGTGGTTTAGATATGGGACATCTATAATTAGTGCTGTTCCCTAGTAGGGTTTTTGACCATTACCCTTAGTGAGAACTATTTGTGAACATTAAGCAGTCATCAGGATGAAGTGAGAGGAATAGCTGGTGAAATGGGATGCAGGTGACTAGGGTGTTCATAGCTTAGTATATACCATTATTGATCTAGATGGTGGCTGGGTAGATGAATAGATAGGGGCTGGTGCCGTGGTGCACTGGGTTAATCCTCTGCCTGCAGCACCAGCATCCCATATGGGCTTCAGTTCTAGTCCCAGTTGCTCCTCTTCCAGTCTACCTCTCTGCTGTGGCCTGGGATAGCAGTGGGGGATGGCCCAATAGATTGGGCCCCTGCACCCACATGAGAGACCAGGAGGAAGCACCTGGCTCCTGGCTTTGGATCAGTGCAGCTCCAGCCATCGCAGCCATTTGGGGAGTGAAGCAGCAGAGGGAGACCTTTCTGTCTCTCTGTCTCTCTCTGTCTGTAACTCTGTCAAATGAATAAATAAAATCTTTAAAAAAAAGATGAATAGATGAATGGATGCCAAGTTTGGTAAAAAGGGTTATGTGTCAAGTCCCAACTGTCTTTGTTTAATCATAACTATCTCCTTGTTGTGATTTCAGCAAGCAGGATATGTACATTGGTGGTACCTATTTGGTAGTAGGGGAGGACAGTGGTGGCAGGGGAAAAGGTTAAGCTGGAATGGCATCATGTTACGTCAAGTTGGTAAGACAGGTATTCCCTAGTGCTGGATGGAGAGTCAGGATTTTGGGACCTTTGTGTTGGGACGAACACTTCCTAGTGCTAGAGAGAGAGAAAGTGTTAGTGAGGACCTCACTGAGGTGGGGTGGGCATCAACAAAAATCTCCGTATTTTGTAGGGTCATCCAGGATGAGGGAGCTTCTAGGGAACCATGCATGTAAGAATGGTGGCAATGTTTGTGGGCACTTTGCATAAGCCTTGCACTGGGACCCACAACTACTGAACTCGAGTTATTGTGAAACCACAATCCTGAGGGACACAACTCATGGTTATGCAGGTATCCTTGTGTGAAGCAGTATCAGAGGCCAACAAATCAGAGTGTTTGAAAACCAGTCATGGTAGCTGGGTCCCCACTGTTTGTAGTGGCACTGAAGCTAGTCTGTTGTTCACATGGTGTTAAGCTTGCCCTGGCAAGGTGGATCTTCTGTGGAGGTCCTAGGGAATAGGAGGGTGGCACTGGAGAGTCTGAGATGCTGTCATTCCAGTGGCAAGCTCTTGGACTGAGGTGACACAATCGCTGCAGACCCTGGATTGTCTTCCTAAGTTGCCGCTATTCAGGTGTTTGGATTTTTAAGATCTCTGAGATTAAAATGAGTCTCGGCCATGTGGGGGATGTGCCAGTTTTGATGACACTGTGATATACTGAGACATCTGTGATGTCTCAGGGCTTATCAGTGAATCATAAATGAAGTTCTGACCTGCTTGCACAATATGTTCCAGTCTGCTGCATGTCCCTGATCATTTTTATCCTCTGGGTCTATACTAACTACACTCCTGGTGGTGCTGAGAGGCCCAGTTCATAGGCAACTGTCTGTGCTCATAGCTGGCTTACAGGACATCCCAGTTGACAATGAGGATGAGATTTTTGGTGCACACAGATCCACTCATACTGGATTGAAAAACACTGATCCACAGGTATGTCAGCCTTTGGAAGGTCAGATTTAGACTTGAATTTGGAGAAGCAGAAAGAAAATAGTTTTGAATCCCACCTATTTCCAGTCTCTGGTAGAAATAAATAAAAGCCCTATTAATAAATGAAATCAACCAATAAGCTCCAATGTTTTAGATGAAACTTTTAGAGCCTGACAGACAAAGTTCCATTGCAGGCTCCTGGCTTCAGCCTGGACCAAGCCACAGCTGTTCATCTGGGGAATGAACCAGTGGATGGAAGATTCTCTCTCTCTCAAATCAATCAATACATTTTTTACAAAAGCAACATCTGTGTATGTTTTGGTGTGAGAGAGAGAGAGAGAGAGAGAGGAGACAACAAAAATAAGCAAAGATTTTTTTTAAGGAATTGGTTCCTGCGATTATGTGACTGATAAATATGAAATTCAGTTGATTAGCTGGAAGCTCAGGCAAGTGCTGAAGTCCCAGTGTAAGGCCCCAAATCCAGAGGGTAAGTAAACAATCTAGAAGAAACTCACACAGGATTTCTATGTTACACTTTGGAGTGAGAACCTTGTAAGCAAGGTTCTGTAGTCAGGTTCAAAAATGATTGTGCAAGCAGGTCCGAACTTTGTGTATGATTCACTCTTACTTGGGGAAACATTAGTTTTTACTCTTAAGGCCTTAAACAGTTTGGATGAGGGTGATATCCCTTACTTGAAATCAACTGATTGTAAATGTTACACATTCATATGATACTGAGAGACAATTGTATTTAAGACTACTGTCTTAGCTCTTGGGAAACTCATGCTGAAGTGAAGGGTGATGCTTATAATTTATTTTCACATCGCCATGCACACAAAACAAGGAGAAAGAAAATAAAATTATGAAACCAAGTGAATTATCATTTACTATACTATGCCAGAGAGACTGAATCAAAGGATTGAGTTGGTTCAGTCCAAATTGTCCTGATTTAGCATTCTGTTATGAAATAGAAATGTGGACTCCTGGAGGAGTGCAAGCTAAATAGTCCTAATGAGTCAAAAGAAAACAAAACATTCCAGTAGTAGAAACTGTAGCAAATGGAAAAACAATTTATATTATTTTCCATCACATGAGAAGATGCAGTGCCTTTGCTTTCTGATACAGTCTTAGCTCTCTGTGAGTTGGTAAGCAGCTTGGATTTATCAGAAGAGAGGGGTCCAATCACCAGCATTTAAGACGTCTCTCACATCATGATCCACAAGCAGGAGCTGCTGGTAGAAGCTATGATGCAGTCCTCCATGTTAGTATTCATCAGAAAATGGGTAATTAGGGTGGCCATCAAAACTAAAATGAGAAAGAATAATGTATAATCAATTTGATGACTCCCTAGAAGAAGTGATTTTTATGAAGCTTCTTATTTTCATAAGCATGACTTTTAATGAAATTTTAAAATAATAATTAAAATATTCAATTTATATTTCTTTTCCTGGCTTTCAACACAGAACACCTAAAGTCAAATACTCAAACTTATTATCCTTAGACACATCTGTGAAAAGAAAAACCAAAGAGATATTCATAGTTTTTTATTGCAATTCTTAATGAAAGAAGAAACTGTTTCATCCTTGTTTTGCATAGGAATAAATAACAGCTACATTCTCAGCACTAATCAATACTTTTACCGAATCAGGTTACTGATAGCAATTTCACTTCTATCGTAATTCACTAATTACTTTATAACTGCCCACTACATGGAATTTAACAAGTGAGATTCAGAAATAGAAACAGTGTCATCTAAGGTAGAAAAGAATCCACATCCAAGAAGCTTATTTGACAGCAAGAACATAATTAGATAGCTGTAATTACATAAAATATAAAATGATAAAAAACTATTTCATACTATTAAATATTTATTGGTTTTGAGAATCATTGGTAGCTTGCCACTCTCTTTTTTTATTTACTCCACATTAATAAAATATTATGGCTATAATTATATATCTACCAATTTTTGAGTATAAAATGTTAAAATATCTCTATTTAAGTTAAGGTCTCCACTGGGGCAGTAATAAGTATTCATCTTTTTCTCCTCAGGTGTAATTAATATTCTTTCTCATAACTCTGTAACTTCAGAGCATGAATAAATAGTGAAGAACTTCTGTTGGTTTTAAATTGTCTCCACCAACAAGATTTTGGTTTTGCCTCCATATGCTTCCTTTGGTTTTAAATCTCTTTAATGAAATTTTTGTATTTCTTGCATTGAAGTATCTGTATTTCATAACATCAAAATTAAAACTTCTCTTGTACTCCATGAAAACTAGCATTTCTGGAGGCACATGCTGTGTTTGAATCCTGTACAAACATGCAGTGAAATGGAAAGGCAGATTTTAAACTATTAAGTACATTTAAGTGACAGAATCCAGTGCACGATTGCATATAGAAGGGATGAGAATTTCTGATATGAGTCACAGGGTTGAGGTGCCTTTCAGCTACTTGGGTAATAACTACAGCGTATGTCCACTAGATGGCAATATATAAATCTCCCCACGTGGGAGATATATCAGTTGCTCTTAAGTGCCCATAAAATAATGTAAAGGTGCATGTGAAGAAGTCCACATTGCCCCTGGACCCATTCACACTGCTCCTGTTCCAGATATCAAAGCTCTGGAGAGCATATAGGAAGAAAATTCCACAGAGCTGTTTCATCTCTCTGTATTCCTAGTATTGAAATAACTTTTAACACGTGTACTACATTCCTCCTCAGGAATATACTGAGGCCACATATTAACCAGCGACTTACAAAGGGGTGGCATCATAGCGAAAATTTCTGTTCAGCCCATCAAGAGTTTTCACGTCCTCTGAAGTTAGCTGAAATTCAAAAACCTAGGACAAAAGTAATTTTTTTATTATTACTTTTAGGCTGCATAATTGGCAATCTTGAAAATCCAAGTGCATCAGACTTATCAGTACATATGCAATGTATAAAAATATAAGTTGTCTCCAAAGTTATTACATATACCAAGAAAATATTCAAAAGGTTAAAATATTAGTCAAAAAAAATAAAGCCATTTCTGTATATATAAGTACTAAACTGAAACAGTGCAACGCTTTAGGCAAAATGACATCTCAAAGGAAGAGAGATGAAACAAAAATGGTATTTTCAAAAATGATAAAATATCAAGATAATTTTGTAATATTTCTGGATTCAAACAAATCCCTAAATCCCAGATATGAGCATGAAGAAGGTGAAAAAATATTGTAACCATAATTTAATTGAGAAATTATCTAAAGACTAGTAAATTATGTTCAAAGTACACAAGAACTGTCTCAAAGAGGAATTTGTAGTGTAAATCTGGGATATTTAAGCATAAAATTATTGCTAATAGTAATTGCTAATACACTGCACCAAATATATCTGTTAAAACACAGTAATATCCAGAGAAAAAGAGAAAGACCAGAAGGCAAAGTATGAACAGTTATCAATCTGGGAACAAAGCACATTATTCTTTGAACTTTCCTGCATGTTTGAAAAATTTTAAAAGAAAACGTTGAGAAAAGTTATCAAAAGTGTATTGGGGCCAACATTGTGGCACAGGAGGTAAAGTCACCACCTGCAATGCAGTCATCCCATATGGATACTGGTTTGAGTCCTGGCTGCTCTACTTCTGACTTCTGATACAGCTCCCTACTAATGGCCTAGGAAAAGCAGCAGCATGCTGGGGTCCTTTATCACCCACAGGGGAGACCCAGATGAAGCGCCTGACTCTTGGCTTCAACCTGGCCATTGTGGGCCATGCAGCCATCTTCAGAGTGAACTAGCAGATGGAAGTTATTTCTTTCACTCTCTCTCTTTGTAGCTCTGCCTTCTAATAAGTAAATAAATAAATAGTACCAAAGTTATTCTCTATGAATTAATCTAACAAAATACATAATTTCTAAATGAAGTTATAAAATGTAATTAAATACACCCTAAGTAATTGTAAATTTACATAATAATTATGCAACTCTTAATATTATCAATAATTTCATTCTTCCAAATTAATTGACAACCTCATTACAGTATTAAAGAAACATTTGAAAACTTACTTTCTTGTGGGAACTGATATGATTATAAATTATATATAAAAGAAAACATAGTCACAGATATAAAAATATTCTAATATAAAGGAGTGAATATTGCCTTATGGATAGCCAGACTTATTTTCATACAAAATTAAGGTACTATGTCAAAGTAAATAAATATACTGAATACAGGAGAGATGTCAGGAAGATAATTACATATATTTGATGCATGGTAGAGATGACAATCAAGATATTGTTACCGGGACATTTAAACTGCCATTCAAAAATCCTCCTACTTTTGAATAGTTATTGTATAATCTTAAGAGTATAAAGTAAACCAAAAATACATCTTTGTAAAAATGAAGAGTGGGAAATGGAGAGAGAGGAGAAAAAGCATGGGAGCACAGGTGGGAGGGAAGGCAGGGTGGGAAGAATTACCATGTTCCTAAATCTGTATTTGTGAAAATCATGTACCTTAGATAACATTTTAAAAACACATATGGTATATGTATCTCCCATATTTAACTTAATAATAATTACATTTACAGATCAAATTTAGAAGGAAAAAAGCATAAGAATTGTGAAGAATTTAGTGTAGAATATTGTTATATTCCCAATGTATGAAAAAGCAAAGACTCATCAATCACAAAGAAAAGGCATGAGAAATTTGACCCCAGTAAGAGTAGGAACTTTGTTCAAGAAAATATTCTTGTTGTTGTCATAAAGAGAATGAAATCACAAGTAAAATTTGGGAGATGATATGTTAACAATTTGAGTAAAAACTATATTCAGATATCAGTGGTGACATAAAGTATGAGTGGACCATGACACGTGCATTAATTTTTCATTATTGGATAAACCAGAGACTCAAATATTTCTTTAATTTATTATATTTCATATAGATTAGACATACAGCATTAGAGGTTTAATTTTGGCCTGTGCTATAACAATCCATTTTGAGTATACTCTAAATGTAAATTCTGAATGAATTAGTGTTTATTCTAATCTTAAAAAATTACATGTTTTTGGTGGTCCATGATTATACTTTCATGTGTGTTTGACAAAGGGGTTTAACAATATAATCCTTGAAGTAAAAGACAATTCAGTATGCTGTAAATCTATGGATAAAACTTCCACTGAGGAACACTTTTCAAAAGCCATTGGATCCCTTTGAGAAAGATAATTTTTTAAAAAGATTTATTTATTTATTTGGAATCAGAGTTACAGAGAAAGTGAGAGAGGGAGAGATCTTCCATCTCCTGGTTCACTCCCCAGATGGCCTCAACAGCAGCACTTGGCCAGACCTAAGCCAGGAGCCAGGAGCCAGGAGCCAGGAGCCAGGAGCCAGGAGCCAGGAGCCAGGAGCTTCATTTGGGTTTCCCCAGTGAGTGGCAGGGGCCCAAACATTTGAACCATCTTCCGCTGTTTTGCCCAGACCACTAGTGGGGAGCTGGTCCAGAAGTAGAACAACCAGGACTCAAACCCATGCCAATATGGGATGACAACTTTGCAAGTGGTGGCTTTACATGCTTGCCACAATGCCAGCCCAAAGAAAGCCAATTTGCTTTTGTGTCCTTTAATAGCTTTCTAGTCTAAAACACCAGTCCACGTTCCATGTATTTACTTATAGTTTGTTAATTTCTACTTCTTTATTTTATTTGCTGGTAATTTCCTTGAAAGCCACTAACATACTCCTGTTCCTTCTAAATTCATGAGACTTCCACCTTAATAATTAAGAGATAGCTAGTAGCCACTGTAATCAAACAACATGAATTATTTCTGGTCAATTGTATAATTTTGAAGGTCATATATATTTATCAGTCCTGTCCAAAAAACAATGAATTGTAACAAACATCTCTTCTATTCACTTGTTGTATAAGAGCTAATAAAAATAAAATACAATACAATGTTGCATATGCATATATGCATCTTGAGACAAAAGTAAGTAAAATACATATGGCATAGTAGGTTAAGCCTCCACCTGCAGTATGGGGTCCCATATGGGTGCTGATTCAAGACACAGTTGCTCCTCTTCTAATCTAGCTCTCTGTTAATGGCCTGGAAAAGCAAGGGAAGTTGGCCCAAGTGTTTTGGCCCCGGACCCACATGGGAGACCCAGAAAAAGATTCTGGATCCAGGTGTCAGATCAGCCCAGCTCTAGCCATTGTGGCCATTTGAGGAGTGAGGAGTGAACCAGTAACGGAAGACCTCTCTCTGCCTATCTCTCTGTATGTCTGTAACTCCACCTCTCAAATAAACAAATAAATCTTTAAAAAATGACAATAAATCAATAAAAACATATTTAACATAACAAATATATGATCATTGTTTATAAAAGTGATCCTAATATTTCAGATCTCCCTGTCTCCAGACCCCTTGTTATTTAAATTAGCACTTCAATTTCTTAAGAAATGATGTTTATTTTCACACTCCTTAACTCTGTCTGGCTAAGGGAAGTTGGGATAAGCAATGGTGTGACAGTTCTGAATCTAGACATGTGGACACTTCTCAAGTATCCACACGCTGCCTTATGATCATGTCTTGTGATGGAGTGAAGCCTGGGAAACTTGGCAGGAAGAAGAAAAACTGTAAGGAAGAAAGCTGAAGCACTGGAGACTCCAATCAACATCCTGAACTACAGTGCCTGCAAATGCATAGAAAGTTGAGTAAAATAAACAACAGAGTTCAGGCAAAAATGAAAAAAAAAATTCAGCTGAGCACAGGCAAAGTGTTAATCATGAGCTGTATAAATGGTTCTGCTGTTAAATCTCCATGTGGTAGGTGGTTTGATATTCATGTTCAAGTTACGGTGTAGTAAGAATTTGGGGAACCCATGTTATGGTGCAGCAGGTTAAACTGCTGCTTCCAATGCTAACATCCCACATCAGAGTGCTGGTTCAGTCCAGGTCACTCTGCATCTGACCAAGCTTCATACTAATGTGTCTGGGAATGTAGCAGAAGTTTGCCCGAGTGCTTATGTTACTGCAACCCACATTAGAGATGTGAACGGAATTCCTGGGCCCTGGCTGTGGCCTGACCCAGATCTAGCTGTTGCAGCAATTTGGAGATTGAACCAGCAGAAAGAAGATCTCTTTTTTTTTTTTTTCACAGGCAGTGTGGACAGTGAGAGAGAGAGAGACAGAGAGAAAGGTCTTCCTTTGCCGTTGGTTCACCCTCCAGTGGCCGCTGCGGCCGGCGCGCTGTGGCCGGTGCACCGCGCTGATCCGAAGGCAGGAGCCAGGTGCTTCTCCTGGTCGCCCATGGGGTGCAGGGCCCAAGCACTTGGGCCATCCTCCACTGCACTCCCTGGCCACAGCAGAGAGCTGGCCTGGAAGAGGGGCAACCGGGACAGAATCCGGCGCCCCAACCGGGACTAGAACCTGGTGTGCTGGCGCCGCAAGGCGAAGGATTAGCCTATTGAGCCGCGGTGCTGGCAAGAAGATCTCTTTCTCTCTGTTGATTTGGTTTTCAAATTAATTAATTAATTAAAAAATTATGATCTCCTATACACAAATAAAAAAAGACAATCTAATAAATATGGACAAAACTCTGAATAGACAGTGCATAAAACAGGAAAGTCAAAATACATAAGTGTGTAAGCAATAAACTGTGTGACTGTTGAGGGAAATTAAAAATAAAGCTATAACAATTTCTAGCCTGAAAATCATTTTTTTTTAAACTTTTATTTAATGCATATAAATTTCCAAAGTACGACTTATGGATTACAATGGCTTTCCCCCCATACCATCCCTCCCACCCACAACCCTCCCCTTTCCCACTCCCTCTCCCCTTCCATTCACATCAAGATTCATTTTCGATTATCTTAATATACAGAAGATCAGCTTAGTATACATTAAGTATGGATTTCAACAGTTTGTTCCCACACAGAAACATAAAGTGAAAAATAATAGATGATTTTTTTAAATGATGATGAAATCAGAGCAGACCTATTGTCATGTTTAATCCCAGTGAGAGTCAAGTTGGGAATTGATAATTTCTTTTTTTTTTTTTTTTTACAGAGGATCAGTTTAGTATGCATTAAGTAAGGATTTCAACAGTTTGCACCCCCATAGAAACACAAAGTGAAATATATTGTTTGAGTACTCGTTATAGCATTAAATCTCAATGTACAGCACATTAAGGACAGAGATCCTACATGAGGAGTAAGTGCACAGTGACTCCTGTTGTTGACTTTACCAATTGACACTCCTGTCTATGGCATCAGTAATCTCCCTATGCTCCAGTCATGAGTTTCCAAGGCTATGGAAGCCCTCTGAGTTCTCCGATTCTTATCTTGTTTAGACAAGCTCATAGTCAAAGTGGAGGTTCTCTCCTCCCTTCAGAGAAAGGTACCTCCTTCTTTGATGGCCTGTTCTTTCCACTGGGATCTCACTCGCAGAGTTCTTTTGCCAGAGTGTCTTGGCTTTCCATGCCTGAAATACTCTCATGGGCTTTTCAGCCAGCTCCGAATGCCTTTAGGGCTGATTCTGAGGCCAGAGTGCTATTTAGGACATCTGCCATTCTATGAGTCTGCTGAGATTCTCACTTTCCATGTTGGATCACTCTCCCCTTTATTTACTCCATCAGTTAGCGTTAGCAGGTACTAGATTTGTCTATGTGCTCCCTTTGACTCCCAGTCCCTTCACCATGACCAACTGTGAACTGAAACTGATCACCTGGAACAGTGAGATGGCATTGGTACATGCCACCTCGATGGGATTGAATTGGAATCCCCTGGTATGCTTCCAACTCCACCACTTGGGGCAAGTCAGCCCGAGCATGTCCCAAATTATACATCTCTTCCCTCTCCCATTCCCACCACCATGTTCAACAGGGATCACATTTCAGTTAATTTTCAACACTTAAGAATAACTGTGCATCAATTACAGATCTAAACCAGTCATATTAAGTAGAACAGATAAAAAAACTACTAAGAGGGATAATGTATTTAGTTGTTCATTAACAGTCAGGGCTATGCTGATCAAGCCACCATTTCCCATAGTGTCCACCTCACTCCAACAGGTTTCCCTCTTGGTGTTCAGTCAGTCGTCACCGATCAGGGAGAACATATGGTATTTGTCCCTTTGGGACTGGCTTATTTCACTCAGCATGATGTGTTCCAGATTCCTCCATTTTGTTGCAAATGACTGGATTTCGTTGTTTCTTACTGCGGTATAGTATTCTAAAGAGTACATATCCCATAATTTCTTTATCCAGTCTATCGTTGATGGGCATTTAGGTTGGTTCCAGGTCTTAGCTATTGTGAATTGAGCTGCAATAAACATTAGGGTGCAGACCTCTTTTTTGTTTGCCAATTTAAATTCCTTTGGGTAAATTCCAAGGAGTGGGATGGCTGGGTCGAACGGTAGGGTTATCTTCAGGTTTCTGAGGAATCTCCAGACTGACTTCCATAGTGGCTTGACCAGTTTGCATTCCCACCAACAGTGGGTTAGTGTCCCTTTTTCCCCACATCCTCGCCAGCATCTGTTGTTGGTAGATTTCTGAATGTGAGCCATTCTAACCGGGGTGAGGTGAAACCTCATTGTGGTTTCATTTGCATTTCCCTGATTGCTAATGACCTTGAACATTTTTTCATGTGCCTGTTGGCCATTTGGATTTCCTCTTTTGAAAAATGTCTATTGAAGCCGGCGCCGTGGCTCACTAGGCTAATCCTCCACCTTGCGGCGCCGGCACACCGGGTTCTAGTCCCGGTTGGGGCGCCGGATTCTGTCCCGGTTGCCCCTCTTCCAGGCCAGCTCTCTGCTATGGCCAGGGAGTGCAGTGGAGGATGGCCCAGGTGCTTGGGCCCTGCACCCCATGGGAGACCAGGAAAAGCACCTGGCTCCTGGCTCCTGCCAGGATCAGCGCGGTGCGCCGGCTGCAGCGGCGGCCATTGGAGGGTGAACCAACGGCAAAGGAAGACCTTTCTCTCTGTCTCTCTCTCTCACTGTCCACTCTGCCTGTCAAAAAAAAAAAAAAAAAAAAAAAAAAAAGAAAAATGTCTATTGAGGTCCTTGGCCCATCTCTTAAGTGGGTTGTTGGTTTTGTTTTTGTGGAGTTTCTTGATCTCTTTGTAGATTCTGGTTATTAACCCTTTGTCTGTTGCATAGTTTGCAAATATTTTTTCCCATTCTGTCGGTTGTCTTTTCACTCTCCTCACTGTTTCTTTTGCAGTACAGAAACTTCTCAATTTGATGCAATCCCAATAGTTGATTTTGGCTTTGACTGCCTGTGCCTCCCGGGTCTTTTCCAGAAATTCTTTGCCTGTGCCAATATCTTGAAGGGTTTCTCCAATGTTCTCTAGTAACTTGATGGTGTCAGGTCGTAGATTTAGGTCTTTAATCCATGTGGAGTGGATTTTTGTGTAAAGGTGTAAGGTAGGGGTCTTGCTTCATGATTCTGCACGTGGAAATCCAATTTTCCCAGCACCATTTATTGAATAGACTGTCCTTGCTCCAGGAATTAGTTTTAGATCCTTGATCAAATATAAGTTGGCTGTAGATGTTTGGGTTGATTTCTGGTGTTTCAATTCTGTTCCATTGGTCTATCCATCTGTTTCTGTACCAGTACCATCTAGCCTGAAAATCATTTACTCCAAGGATTCATTACAGAAATTGAAAAAAATGAGATGCATCTTGCATTGGGCTACAGAGTAAGTTCTCAACCTAAAACTGAAACTCAAATTTATTCTCTCATCAATCATAATTTTATGTAGCCATAATTTTGACCATCCTATTGCCATTATGGGAGGAAAAAATGATGCAAATCTCCATGAATTCTGTACAGTTATGCCAGAGAAATAGACTTGGCCCAAAGATGTCCCAACAGCCTACAGATGAACACAGGACACAGATGTTCTGATGCCACAGCCCCACTCATCACCTGCAAATTTTCTTTGATTCGCTTCTCACTGAAACTCTTGGCCAGGACCACAACCCCACGCTGCAGCTGGTAGCGAAGGGCAATCAGGGCTGGACTTCGCTCGTGCTTTTTTGCCAGGGCACAGATGACTGGATCTTCCAGGAGAACTGGGGAGCTCTGGTCCACCCTGGAAGGAAAAGTAGGAAATCCAACTCTTAAAGCTGAGCATTCAGTTTGTTAGGAGGTTCCCCAAACAGACTAAGGTGTCTACTGCAAAGATCCCTCTCAAACAGCTTCCCTGGACTCACAGCATCAGCTTCACCTGGCATGTTGCTATGAAAAGCAATTGCTGTCCTCCCCCTCAGCCACTTGAGAGTTAACTCCAGAAAACTGGTATGATTTTTTTATATAAAAATTATTTATTTGAAAAACAAAGTGACACAGAAAGGGAAGATAAAGGGAGAGATCTTTCATCTGTTGGTTCATAACAAATGGCCCAAAATGGCCCCAACAGCCAGGGCTGGGACAAAACCAGGATTTAAGAACATTATCCAGCTGTCCCATGTGGCTGGCAGGGACTGAAGTACTTAAACCATCATCTACTGCCTCCCAAGTGCATTAGTAAGAAGCCGGATTGGAAGAAGAAGCAGAAGTCATCCCAGCCACTTTGATGTGGGATTCAGGTGTCCAAGGTCCACAATGTCTGCCCTACAATATGATAGAAAATATTACATAAAATATGGTGATTTAAGTAAACTGCCTGTTATCCTTGTTACCATATTTTATCTCTTTGGGCTCCCAGGGCACTAAAGGCCACCAGAACAATGTCTTTCGACTTGCAGAAATCCAGCAGCTTACTCTGGTTGAGATAGGGATGACATTCCACCTGTGCATGGAAAAGATAAAACAGTATCAGATTATTGCAATGTTATTACTAATGTGGAAGGAAAATTTGAAAAGTAGAAGAACTGAACTTAAAGTGTGTAATATCAAAATTAAACTGAAAAATATGAACGTTAAATAATAAACTCATTTTTAAAAATAGATTTTATATTTCTGTCTCCTGAATGAGTTAAATTTTTAAAAATATTTTATTTATTTGAGAGACATAATTACAAACAGAGAGAGGTCTTCTATCTGCTGGTTCACTCCCCAAATGGCCACAAGGACCAGAGTTGGGCCAGGAGCCAGGAGCTTGTTCTGGGTCTCCCTCATAGGTGCAAGGGCCTAAGAACTTGAGCCACCTTTCACTGCCTTCCAAGGCCATTATCAGAGAGCTGTATCAAAAGTGGAGTAATTGGGACAAGAATCTTGACCCATATGGGAAGACAGCACCGCAGGTGGAGGCTTAGCCTACTACACCACAGCACCTGCCCTGGTTAAAAATTTTTAAAAAGATGCCATTGAGAATAATCAACCCTACAAACCACTTCTTGATTCTTACATCTTTGTTCACTACAAGGGCACATGGTGACTTCCAGATTGGGGAAAAGGGATAGACATTGTAGCATATTGATTATCAAATTGTTTCCTTCTGCCTCTACCTCTCTGTAACTCTCCCTTTCAAATAAATCAATAAATCTTAAAAAAAAAAAAAACCTGCTTGCCCTGATGTATGCTGAATGTTATAGCAATTGTTTCATGTGACATTGATTGTTGTAGGGAACAGATAAAGAGTTTAACATGTCTTATAGAAATAATTTACTTTCTTGTGATTTGATGAGGGCCTTTTAGGGTAAAATATTATTTGAGAAAAATGAGAGTGATTAAAAATGAAAATAATTACTTACAAACAGCAGAAGCAGACAAAAATCATTGATGAATATTCAAATATTACATAAAACTTATTTGGGGATACTATTTATCCTAGGATATTAGTCATTCAATAGACTATCAGTAATTGTCAAAAAGAAACATATTTATAAAAAAAGAGATCTGGCTACCATTATCTCAGCCAACTGAAGAATACTGTCGTCACCAACAGTGGGACAACCTGTCACTATGTGCTTCCTACCGACAAAATGTGAGGGTTAAAGCATTCTAAGAACATTTTCTTACCAAAAATGCCTAGCTTTATTTATTTATTAATTAATTAATTTATTTATTTATTGACAGGCAGAATGGATAGTGAGAGAGAGAGAGACAGAGAGAAAGGTCTTCCTTTTGCCGTTGGTTCACCCTCCAATGGCCGCTGCGGCTGGCGTGCTGCGGCCCGCACACCACACTGATCCAATGGCAGGAGCCAGGTGCTTCTCCTGGTCTCCCATGGGGTGCAGGGCCCAAGGACTTGGGCCATCCTCCACTGCACTCCCTGGCCACAGCAGAGAGCTGGCCTGGAAGAGGGGCAACCGGGACAGAATCCGGCGCCCCAACCGGGACTAGAACCCGGTGTGCCGGCGCCGCTAGGTGGAGGATTAACCTATTGAGCAGTGGCGCCGGACAAAAATGCTTAGTTTTAATAAAGTTTTCAGAAGTACCTTCTGATTTATAGAAAACTGGAATATAGAAACAAGCTAATCAACACCACAAGATAGCAACCTGGTAAAATTAAAATATTTGGCAAAAACCTGGCTTAGTATCATGTTGAAAAGGGTTGGATGATCATTCTCATGGGGGAAAAAAGCTTAAGAAACAGGACTAAAGCAATGTGAGAACCAGAGAAGACCTACAAAAGACACGTCAGAAAAAATTGTTGACAATTGGACTACAAACGAGATGATAGACTTGGTATTAGATGGTGTGAGGCAATGATTGTTCATTTCCTTATGTGTCATAACAGAAGGTGTTACTGTGTGGGAGAATGTATTTATTCTAATGACCTGCTTTCTGAGCTGTAGAGGTGAACTGTCATGTCCACAATTTTCTTTGAAGAGATTTTTTAAAATGTTGCACATATTTGTACAGATATACCCAGCACACACACACACACAAACACATATACATACATGTATGATATATGTGTGTGCATCTTATGTACTTCACAATGTGGCAAATGTCAAAAGTTTCATAGGTACAATATAAAATACATATGTTCTGTATCATTGTTTCAAATATTTTAAAACTTGAAAATTTTCACAATTTATGAGAAATTATTCACAAATTATGAGAAAATTATGTCCAGAATAATGTCAATTTCTAATATTTATATTTGAGAATTATGATGTTTTATCATTGTATACCAAATTCAGGAATTTTGTAAGTTGCATTTTCCAATTGAGGACTCTTGCTTCTATAACCTAAGTTAGAGCACAGAACCAGACACAGAATGGATGTGTTTAAACAGTTGACTTGGTGGCAGAAGCTAGGGAGGAGATGCAGACTCTGATGTATTTAGGTACAGGGTCAGGTCTATGTTTTATTACAAGCTCTTGAGTGCTGATTTCATCCATCACTAGTATCTCTGTAAGCAGATAACTCCCTACCTCTAATGTGTATGAATTTCATAACTTCTAGTTAACTTTTTCTCCATTTGTACCTCTGTACAAACACATGAAATCAGAAATACTGATCTTTTCTTATTTTCACTCCACTTACTGCCCATCTCATGCTTTATGGCCTTCTTTCCTGGACACAGTTCCTTCCACATAACCTTCACCCATCCGATCTCTGTACCTTTTTCATAGCTCAGGGATCGATCCACCTTCCCTCTGAAGTCTGATTACCAAGTGCTGCCTCCTTCATTGTCTTTACCTCCCTATATTACACAATTAGGAATTAAGGTCTTCACACCTTCCCACTGAGACTTTCCTAAGAAGAAACACAATAGTTGGTCCTCCACACTTTCCAAGACAAAAATGCTATGCTTGTAGATCTTCCATTCCTCAAATGTAAGACCAATGGGAGCAGAGGATCAGTGGATTCTGGGAGTAGTACATAGGAAGAAAGGAAGGAAGAACAGGAAAGGAAGCACAGTGTGCTGACCTGGTTACAAACTGGCTTGTACTTAAGCCCTGGCTTATTCAGAATCATCTCCAGCTGCCTGCGGTTGAAGTTGGAAACCCCAATGGACTTGGTCAATCCTGCATCCTTACACTTCTCCATTGCCTGTGGAGGAAAACATTGTGAAGAATCATTTGCACAGCTGTCCGAGCCAATATGAATGCAGAAATCCCAGTGAAGCTAGCAGGCTCTGGTTCTTCCCTATCACTCAGGATGATTTCCCTTGCAAAAGCAATGGATTTCTATCTCCATGAGTGGGTGCATATGCCATTCTCCCAGGTGAAAGTGTGACAGAACCTCCTCTCCAGGCTTCTCCTTACTCTCCCTCCACATACTCACCTCCCACATGGCACAAAGATCCACTGTATCAAATAGCACTTTTCCATGGTCATCTTTAGGAATAAGTTCTCCCCCTGGCTGTAACAGAAGCAGTCATCACAACGATGTTACCCAACACAAATCTCCAGCCAAGGCAATGCTCCTATACTTGGGCACCAAACCTCCAGGAAGCAGTTGGAAATACTTTACAAATATATATATGTGTGTGTGTGTGTGTGTGTGTGTATGTATTTAAAAAAAGATTGCATGTGCAACTATATGGAATTTCTCTATTCTCTTACACCTATTATATGTATTAGTAGATACACTTTTCCCACATCCATTATTACTTTTCCTTCCTCTATATATTTCTCTGAAGAAACACTTCTGTTTTACTTGGAAAACCAATAATTACATAACCTTGAACTGTAGCAGTGATAGAGTGCAGCCTTGACCCAAGCTAAACAGTTTTCTTTATCTACCCCAATATTGTTTGTTCCAAGTGAAGTCACATTACCTGTATATAAGGTTCCTTTCAAAGTTAATTTTAATACTGGAAGATGCAGAGACTCTATCAAGTGTTAATGACCATGAGCCTTGAATTGCTCCAAGACCATATTTTACACCACTGGGAGAAAGTTCAACAAAAATCAAGTAACCTTCAGTGATACAGAGGATGCAAGATCAATATCAATGCACATATCTTAAGACTACTTAAAATATGTACATCTATTTGTGGCTTGGACTCCCCAGTTACATAATAATAATAATCCAATAAATTCTTTTTCATAGCTAACTTCAGTAGTTTCTATAAAGTACACAGATTGAATTTATATAAATTATATACATGTGTCATTCAACAATTCATAAAAATTGTGGTTATATTGGCAACTGATAGAAGCTTTATGATACAAATCACCTACCTTCAGAGACACTGGATAATGAATAATATAGAGGTCAACATAGTCCAGTTGAAGTTTTTTCAATGACTCTTCCAAGCTTGGTCGAACCAGCTCTGGTCTATGGAAAGTGGACCAAAGCTGAAGAAGTTAACGAATGAATATTGTGTTGGAAGAATACATTAACCAAATTTTGTTGGTATATTTTTATACTGGTTAGAAACTGATGACTACAAGGTGTGGGGAGCAATCCGGACTAGACTAAGTTACTCGAATTAAGACTTATTCTATGCATCTGCTCTCCCACAATATGGCGCTGGGAGAGAAGTAAATAGCTTCCGCACAGCTGCCTCCAGTTCAACCAATTAACTGTAGGACTTGCTCCTGATTGGAGAGCAGCGTACTCGGCATGTGGGCAGCCGAGTTGGGATTGGCGGAGGAGGACTATAAAGGAGGAGAGAGACGGCATGCACCAGGAACATCTATGGGGAACATCTAAGGGAACCCGTGCAGCCCCCGAGAAGAGCCGGCCGGCGGTGTGCCGCTCCCCTGCGGAAGTGGGGAATGCGGCCAGGGGGAACTGCCCTTCCACGGAGGTGGAAGGGATAGTAGCCAACCCGGGAAGAACCAGCAGCAAACCCGGGGAAGGCCGAGCAGACGAAAGAACAGCGCAGGGTCCTGTGTCGTTCCTCCACGAAGAGGGGGAGCGACATAATGGTGCCGTGACTCGGATAGGAAACCTAGCTCGGATAGGAAACTTAGGACGGTTAGGAAACCTAGGAGGGAAGAAACGGGAAGAAGCAGGAAAATACCGGAGAGAGAGACTAGCAAACAGCCTAGGGAAAAGCCGGACGAAAAAGGAGCCGGAAGAAGCTATTGAAAGCCTAGGCATAGATTCGGATACAGACTACGGGGGGAAGCTGGGAGAAATCTCTAAGGTCAAAAGCGAAAGTGAAAGCTAGAACAAACAGACTCGGACGCGGACTGTGGGGAGAGGCCAGGAGAAATGAGGGAGGAATATCGTTGGAGGAAAGTTTGGGGAAATATACCGGGTAGAGAAAAATGTTAGGGAAAATGAAGCCGCGAGGGCAGGCCAAGGCGGAAACGAAAGCCACTTTGGGGTTCTCAAGTTAGCCCGGGAATAGGGGGCGAAAAGTTGAAACCAGAAGCTGAGACGTAAGCCAGATTGGGATCCGTCTGATTAGCCCGGGGAGCAAAGGACGGGAAGCCAAATCGTGGGGCGGAGACGTACGCTGGGTTGAATTCGCCAGGCTAGCCCGGGGAACTTGGATTGAATGCTAGTGGTGGAGACGCAAGCTACGCTGTGTTACTCGCGGAAGCCGCCGCGTGCAGAGAGAGCACGGGGCGTGAATAGATAGGGAACGCTGGCGTAGGCCGTGGTTTAGACGCGAAAGGGTTAAGCGTGGAGACCGCGGAGCGCGCGAAGCCGAGCCGCGCAAAGCCGGGAAGCTGCGCAGATGAGAGAGGCGCGCGGGCTGAAGCGGCGAGGTGCCGGAAAGCTGCGGGGATAAGAGAAACAGAAGTTTGGCAGTGAAGTAAAAGAGAAATGGGAATGCTGGAAGATAGAAGTGAAATGGGAGAGGTAGGAATGCCCGGAGATAGAGAAATGGAGAAAAATAAGGCCTCCCCTCAACATGCCAATTAGAAGGCTTGGATTCGGTCTGCCCGATTAGTGAGGCGATGAGCACCTGGGCGGCTAGCCGCAGGTCACCGAAGACAGGCACGAATTAACATCAGTAAAGCTTCCCCACAATGCAACAATTAGGAGGCTTGGATTCGGTCTGCCTGATTTAAGGCGGTAAGCGCCAGCAAAGCTCGACCAGAGTATGAGCTGCAGGTCACCGAAGATAGGCACGAACCAACACTAATAAGTCTCCCCCACAATAAGGCAATGAGAAGGCTTGGATTCGGTTTGCCTGATAGGTTTTGTAAACACCTGCAGGCAGTTCTAGCAGAGCAGAGTATGCGCTGCAGGGCACCGAACACAGGCACGCATCAGCGCCTAAAAACCTCCTCACAACATGGCGAAGAGAGGACCCGGATTCGGTTTGCCTGATGGATGGGACTTGTAAGAGCCTGTGGCAACTCTAGCAAGTAGAGCAGAGTGTGTGCTGCGGGACACCGAAGACAGGCGCGTATTAACGCCAAAAAAATAAAAGGAAAGGGGGATCTGTGGGGAGCAATCCGGACTAGACTAAGTTACTCGAATTAAGACTTATTCTATGCATCTGCTCTCCCACAATATGGCGCTGGGAGAGAAGTAAATAGCTTCCGCACAGCTGCCTCCAGTTCAACCAATTAACTGTAGGACTTGCTCCTGATTGGAGAGCAGTGTACTCGGCGTGTGGGCAGCCGAGTTGGGATTGGCGGAGGAGGACTATAAAGGAGGAGAGAGACGGCATGCACCAGGAACATCTATGGGGAACATCTAAGGGAACCCGTGCAGCCCCCGAGAAGAGCCGGCCGGCGGTGTGCCGCTCCCCTGCGGAAGTGGGGAATGCGGCCAGGGGGAACTGCCCTTCCACGGAGGTGGAAGGGATAGTAGCCAACCCGGGAAGAACCAGCAGCAAACCCGGGGAAGGCCGAGCAGACGAAAGAACAGCGCAGGGTCCTGTGTCGTTCCTCCACGAAGAGGGGGAGCGACACAAGGAAAAAGCACTTCCTTCCATTTTTGGGGTTTCCTGTGATCTTATATCTATATGACCTGTAGTATATGTTTGGTTGTTGTTAATCTATTGAACCATGGCACCAGAGATAAAAATGCTATCAAGTAACAGCAGAGTTTTTATAAAATTTAATGATATAATTCTGACATCTGCTTAATTCAATAGGGAAGAGCTAGTATCCCTTTTACTGGCAAAACTGAAGGGAAATATTTTGAAAATTTTAATGTGTTACACATATTAAATATGTTTATATATTTTTAATGTCTAATGAGAACTCTTAAATTGTTCTGTCTTATTGATAAAGGTGACGACTGATAATGAAAATAACGTGAAAATTTTAAAAGTCACGAGGAAATGAGGAAAACTGTAACCTGATGACAGTGCTGTCTATCTCCACAGCCATGCTACATCACAGTGCTTTGAGAGAGACTCAGAAAGGTAAAGGGACTTTACTTAAAATATAGATTTGAATATAAAACATACATTTGAAGAAATAAATGTTACATGCAAATGTATCTGAATAAAATTTGTAGCACTAAACACAATACACCAACAATTATGAATCCAATCATATAATTATCAGTTCGACTCATAACATTGCATTACTTTTTACACCTGTGCACCATAAGACAGTACCTTTGAAGTGTAAAATATGTCTTGTCTCTTCACAACGCCATCTGCAATCTTACTTCTGATGGCCAGTCCTACCTCCTCTTCATTTTTGTACAAATATGCAGAGTCAATATGGCGAAATCCAGCATCTATAGCTAATTTGGTGTCCTCCAAAGCCTCACTTTTAGGAACCTAGAGGAGCAACCAAAAGCAGCATTTGGAAATTCATGTGACAAGAGCTAGTTCAGGTAAAAGCATTGACCTTGACAAGAATCAACTGTTCCTCTTGTTTTGGGTTAGTTCTGCAGTTGGAGTCATGAATTCATCCCAGTTTGCCTGGCTCTTTCCTTTTTGAAAAAATAAAGTTGGGCATCCCAGGTACACGTTCAGTCCCAGCAATCACAAATATCATAAGTCACTAGGAACATCATCCAGGTTCAATGATTAGCTGGAAAGACTCACAGCTAATATCCAGAGTTACACTCATAGTTATTCATGCAGTAAGGTCAAAAAGTTAGGTTCAAAGAGGGAAAATATGCATGGAATGAAGCATAAAAAAACACAGAGCAAGCATTATTCATTCCTCTCAGAAAATCACACAGAAAAGTCTGAATTCCTCCAGCACTGATTTTTTTAGAGGAAAGGATGAGAGTTAAAAGTTTAATAAAGAACTTACAAATACCTGTTGAAAAGAAAAACCTTTGATTGTTGATTAAATGATGTGTTGTGGAGTCTTATTATTACAGTTAACTGTTTTCCAAACCATGAACTCCATAATAAAGTATTTTTTCATGTTTTCTTTTTTAGACTGACATATAATTGCTAAGGGAGGGAGAACTGTAATCCATTAACTCTTTCCAACCTGATAGGTTTTTCTCTTTGCAGTTAATGGAAACCTAAGCAATGGGTTCATATGCTGATGATCAGCTCTTTTCTGTGCTGCTGTCCCTGCCTTAGCTGATAAGAGTTTTCATGTGTCTTGAAGGTTTCGTGTTTTTCTATTTGTAGTATTGAGACTACGTTATTTGTCTGTTTTTAATGTTTGAGTGATTACCCAACTGATCAGAAATGTACTAATTTTGGCTAAATGGTTTGACTCTGACAGCTTAAATTCTATACCGAGTCTTCCAACTTTGGGCTTCCAGTCAGATCCCTGGAACTCTCAAAGGATGAGACTCTAAATTTGTTAAAGTAACAGCTGCTTGAGTCAATTCAGATTATGTGAAGTGTATTAAAATGTTGTAAATGGTGTCAGACCTATGCTGTATTCATGTTTTTGCTTTCCAGCTAGAGTGGTCTTATGAAAATGAGAGTAAATTCTGTGTATACAGGCCTTTATGTTAACTAAAGTAAGCCAATGCAGATTGGTTCACTTGCTCAGTTTTACATGTCTTTGATATGCTTTAAACTTGTTTCTCTTAATCATGAAGATCTTTTCAAAGTTGTAAACATGCACTAGTGTCCCTGTTGCTACTCAGGTGTTATCCTTAGGTTACTTAAAAGCATGGGAAATGTAATTTTGACTTTTAATTCAGATAATGGTGTGGTATTCATTAATAACTGTTTTTAGTTATCTAGATATCGGTGCTAAGTAAAACTTGGGAAAATGTATTATGTGTACTTTTAACATCTCAAATTTGATAAGAGAGACTGTTTGAGTTTGTTAGCATGTATTCTCATAGGTTGTCCATACATGACAATTCAAGACTATGTAAAAGTAACTATGGGTGTAAAGTTTCAGAAGGTGTGAGCAAGTCATGAAAAGTTTTAAAAGGTTTACAATTTTAAAATTGTTTACAGAGTTTTCTTTAAGTTGAGTGCTAATGCCAAAATTACACTGACCTAAAGTTGAAGTCTGATCTTTGTTATAACAATGGGGTTTTTAAAAAATGTGTACTAATGTTAGTAAATGGTCTCAATCATAAATCTTGGAATCTGTTTTTGCAAAAACTGTAATGTCTCTTTTTAACAGTGTCTGCTTCATCGGTTACTCTGCCATTTCTAAAGTTAGGTCCTGTAAGCTCTTTTGACTCTGTTAAATAATTCTGAGTTATGTGATGATTTTGTGTGCTAACTCTAATGTTCAAGGTTTTTATTTCTGGCTTACTCAACAACAAGAGACATAAAATTCATGTTCTGCCAAAGTAATCTATTGTGTACTCTACTGTCTCTGTGATTAGATCTGGTCTAAAAGTGTTAAAATCACCCTAAATGAATGGCTATCATTTCAGGATGTTAAGGAATTCTATTTTGACCAGATACTCTTGGCACCTTTAACAGACTTTCTGAAAATCAAAGTTCTAAATTATCTGGACTTTTGACATCCCCAGAGGGCCCCTGGAGATGTCAAAAGATATATCTCTCATCTTGCAGAGATAATAACCAATCGGACTGTTTAGATTAAAAGTGGTGCCAAGATGTGAAATGATGCTAAACTTCAGTTATAAACATGTTTCTTTCTAGCTGCTCCAGTCTCTGGCTCAGAAGCCAGATCCTTGAAAGAGGGACTGACATAGTCTCCATCCAGCTAACACTGAATAACCAGGCATTGCTAGTTCAAATGTATTGCTAGTTCAAACGTGGATCAAACGGGAGGTCTAGCCAAAAGGGAGAAAGTGTTCCAAAAGAGACTTAGAGATGACGGGAGATGGTTATGGGCCAGATGCTAGAGAACTGGGTTTTAGGAGCCCAAGAAAGCTCTAGTGTCCACAGGCTACATGGTGAAAGCCCGGAAGCCCCAAAACCTAAACTTATGGGTTACACCGTAATACTAGTTAAACCTGGAAACCCAGGCCCATAACCCACTGGCTACACGGTTAATACCCGGAAGCCAAAGGATGGCAGAGACCTCTGCCACAATTTCTCCTCTAAGTCAGGCTATGCAGTAAGCACTGGTTAAACCACCAGTTAAATCCGAAAGCCCAGGAAGTCAGGCTAGAGACCCGACTCGCTGCCTCACTTCTCCTCTTTTCTCTTCCAGAAGGGAAGTTACTACCGTTCTGCAGGACTCTCCACTGTGATGTACGGTTTGATCCCCAGACCTTATGTAAGGGATGACTGACCTTTTCTGTAATAATGCCTGGCCACAGTATAGGGCCCCAAACAACATAGCCAGAATAAGAGGTTAAAATGTGACAGCTAAATTGATTTTTCGGTGTACGCGCTAAATGGGCAGAACTCCCCTTTTAACCAAACTGAGGGATAGATAGGAAATTGCACTGATGACCTCAAAGTATACAAAAGCAGGTCACCACAGTTGATTTTACCTAAAAGGTCATAGCTCTCCTCATGGGCACGGTTTTAACTCGCAGGAAAATACTAAGGGTCAGAATTTGCCCATGACCATAGTTTTCTGTGTCACCCTGATGATATTAAAGAAATCACCAAAAATCAGGGTTGGGTTGAGCACCCCCTTGACTGACATCATAGAGGCTGTCTCCTTGGTCTACCTTATTAGAGACCAGGAGAACGAGGAGCAAGCAAGCAGCAGAGGATGGGCAACAGGCCAATCAATGGCTGCTTTACACAGTGATCTGCCGTCAAGGAGACCCAGCAAGGCCAGTGCACCCCAAAAAGCCCCTGTTGCTGATATAAGGAGCCAGGGCATTGGGCAAGCAGCTTTCGTGACAGAAACCGCCTTCTGTCAGCTCTGCCAAGAGCAAGGCCACCAGACACGGAACTGCCCTGGGTGTCGAAGGACTCCTGGTTCAGAACCACAGACCCTGTGGCCCCAAGCTAAAAAGCCTTTGGCTCAGCCCAGCCTCTGCCCAGCTTTCAGCTCCAGCCACTGCTATTGAGGGGATGGCCTAGGGTCAGTGAAACGCAAGTTGCCTATTTCTATCAGCCTCCTATTCAGCTTTCCTCCTAGTCCAGCCATGTAATGCAAGTCAACAGGGTGCCTCCCTTAAAGGAGATTTGCATCTCTTGCAATTCTCTTCCAGCACCCCATGGATAGGTCTGGGCCTCACACACCCAGCCAGGCCTTAAAAGTCTATCCAATAGCAGTAAGCTTAGAAAGCCCTCCCTGCCAGTTCCTAAAAACAGGGCTTTCAGTAACAGCTAACTCAAATAGTCCTGCACCTATTTGGACAGGTCCTCACTGAGGACTTAAAGGGCCTATCTCTTGAGGGGGGTGCACAATAGTCCATAATGTAGATGGTTAAATGTAAATAATTTGTTAGTCTGTCTCCTTTCCCAGCCTGAGACTCTAGTCTTGTACATTGGCTTAACTTCCTAGCAAAACTAGCTGTTAGGTATCCAGAGGAAAACAAACCATTGCTAGTCCGTTAGAGTGTTAATTATTTAACCCTCATCCTCACCCCTGGGGAGAGAAAACCTGCCCCAGAGAGGATATGGGCCATGCAGCAAATGCCTACTTCTGCAAACTTCAGGCAGTCCCCGTTTTCTCTATCAGGTTCCTAGATACAGGGAAACAGCACAGTTCCTAAACCAGGCTCTCGACAGGCAGCCAAAGCAGAGCCCCCTCCTTTGGGGGAAAGAGCAAACCACAGCCTTTGCTCAGCTAAAGGATGCTATGACTAAAGCCCTGTGCTAGGACTGCCACACCCAGGGAGACCCTCCCAGCTGTATATCACTGGGAGGCAGGGAGTCACCTTAGGAGGGTTAACTCAGGAACTGGAACCTGTTAAGCAACCTGTGGGCTACTTTTCTAAAACCTTAGACATGGTTGAACAAGGATGGCCTCACTGCCTAAGGATGATAGCGGCAGCTGCCTTGCTGACAGAGGAGGCATCTAGCATTACATTGGGGCAAAATATCGCCCGTTATACCCCACATCAAATAAATTCTCTATTAGAGCAAAAGGGCTCTCACTGGCTCACAGATAGCAGAATACTAAAATATCAAGTCCTCCTCCTAGAAAACCCTCAGGTAAAAATAAGGCATTGCTCTACTCTAACCCAGGGGGAAGGTGGTCCCCTCCACTCCTGTACTGAGACTATAGACTTGATCTATGCCAGCAGAAGGGACCTAAAAGCCCCCTGACTAACACACATGAAGTTTGGTTCATAGATGGAAGCAGCTTTGTCAGACGGGACTGCTTCTCAGGGTATGCAACAGTTATGGAATGGCACGTTGTTGAAGCGTGCTCTGCCCCCAGGAACTTTTACTCAGTTAGCAGAACTGATCACTTAACCAGAGCTCTAGAACTAGGTAAGGACAAGAGAAAATAACTCCCAGGGGTCTATACAGCAAAAGGGAACTTACCCCAAGGAAGGCTGGCAAACAGATTTTACACAGCCTCTGTCAATGCTATAGGTACCTACCTGCTTGTACTTATAGGTACCTTTACTGGATGGGTAGAAGCCTTCCCAACCAGAACTAAAAGAGCTCAGGAAGTGACCAAAACTCTCCTAAAGGAAGTTATCCCACGCTTTGTTCTTGCAAAATCTTTACAAAGCAACAATGGGTCTCCCCTCATCTCCCAGGTTACACAAGGGATTTGTAAGGCCCTAGGAATAACCTGGCACCTTCACTCTGCATGGAGACCTCAGTCTCCCAGTAAGGTAGAAAGAGCCAACCAGACTCTATGGAAAACACCACAAGTATAAAAATGTGTGCTTGGTAAGGAAGGTTAGAAAGAAAAGAGTGTTCTTGGTAATGAAGGTTAGAAGGAAAGAGCTTTTTTAATAAGGAAAGGACATGGTTTGTAAGAATGACTTTATCCTGGCCGGCGCTGCGGCTCACTAGGCTAATACTCCACCTAGCGGCGCCGGCACACTGGGTTCTAGTCCCGGTCGGGGCGCTGGATTCTGTCCCGGTTGCCCCTCTTCCAGGCCAGCTGTCTGCTGTAGCCGGGGAGTGCAGTGGAGGATGGCCCAGGTGCTTGGGCCCTGCACCCCATGGGAGACCAGGAAAAGCACCTGGCTCCTGGCTCCTGCCATCGGATCAGCGCGGTGCGCCGGCCGCATTGCGCCAGCCGCGGCGGCCATTGGAGGGTGAACCAATGGCAAAGGAAGACCTTTCTCTCTGTTTCTCTCTCTCACTGTCCACTCTGCCTGTCAAAAAAAAACAAACAAAAACAAAAAAAAAACAAACAAACAAACAAAAAAAAACAAAGAATGACTTTATCCTGATGGCTAGTTTACTGTAGACTGGAATGGAAATGATGGAATGTTTCAAATAAGTTGAAGAGGGTGTGCGGAAGTCACAAAAGGCTATGAAAGAAAGAAATATTGGACATGCTAACTGCTGCTCCAGTAGGTGTCTGTGCCATGTTCCAGGAAGAATATTGTCTCTGGGTCAATCAGACTGGACAGGTACAAACCCAAATTTGTACTTCTCCTGCACAAAGCCAAACAGCTCCAGGACCAGGCCAAGCAGGGCTGGGATTTCTGGCCTGACATCTGGTCATGGAAATCCTGGCTATTTCCTCTCCTTGGCCCAATAACGTCTGTAATCTTGTTACTTCTCCGGATCCCCATTCTCTAGGGGGTCCTGCTCACCCTTCCTCTGAACCCAGGATGGTGCCAGCTAGGTTTCCTCCTGCCTGATACCTTCAAGGGAAAACTCAGATAGGAGCTTCTTAGTATTTACAGCCACAAAATCCTTTGTTTCAGGAGGAAATGTGTGAAGACAGAGACCCATCTCCTTAAAAACCCCCAGCCTCAACGGACTCAGCGCTCAGCCCTCTGCCTCTCTGCTGAGCCACCCACCTGGCCTGGTCAGGTGTAATCTTTCTACTCAATCATGTAACCTCGCCGCCCCTCCCCCCCAGTCTCTCAGGCTCTGTCTGGAGGGGTGCCCATCCATCCTTACAGATGTCCCTTCCCTAATAAACCTTGCTATTTTACCTCACACTACTCAATGTCTCACGCCTGAATTCTTTCTTGTGCGAAGACAAGAACCCTGCAATTTCTCCGGTAACAATTGTATGTTCTGTAACTTTATATATAGAATGCTTGCCTGTTTTCTGATCTTATTCAACTTTATTCATAAGAGCACAAACTGGACAAATTTAAACTACAAATTTCTGATAGTTGGGTAAACTTCAGTGCATTGACAGAATATTTTGAACAACTAAAATGGAATATTTGAAATCCATATTAATAGAAAAAATTTACATATAAGACTATGGGCATTTGATGTGTTCAGTGAAAAGTGGAGAGTATGTACTGTAATCAGTAATTTCATTCAATACACTTCATAGATAGTGCAAAACAGAAAAATGTAAATCATAATTTCTGAACGACTATGGGTGGTTTCAAAAAATTTCCTATCTGTGATTTTCAGCCTTCTGAAATTAGTTTACCACTTTTGAAACTTGTCAAAGTGCTTACTAATAAAAGAGGGAAAGATCTGTACTCAACAGCCTGAAGAGAGTGGAATATCCTCACAGATACCCAGTACTCTAAACTGTATATCAAACCGCTTTTACTCAATGCTTCCTATTTCATCTCATGTCCTTCAGTCTTTGCTATTTTTCCACTGCTAACCAAGCTGCTACCAATCCCTTCCAATGACATATACAAAATAGATTCTGCTTCTCTGACTTGACTTGGCTGGCATTTCCTGAACATTATCACCATCTATGATCTCCCTGGAGATCAGATTTTTGTGGTTAGTCTTGGGATTTAAGCCTTGCAATAATCCTGGTCTCCCAACTGGTTTATTTGGACATGATAGGGCATATCTAAGTCACTATCTCAATGCCCTAGACATAAGGTAAGAACTGCTTTGCTTCACACAGACCTAGCCTCATAATTCAGTGTACTTTCTCAACAATCCTCCAAAGTGAATTCTGCTTCTCTTCTTTTACTTATTTGAATTTGAGACAGTGTTTCTTTTAACCTTTTCTTTCAGAAACAACCATCAAAGATAATTCCTCTTTGTAACCTGCATCCCCTTCAATTTGCACCAGAAACACACGTGCATGTCCTTGGGAACTGGGGGAGTCCTTTCTGAGTCCTGAAGCCCTGATGCTGTGATTGTTGGTACTACAATCCCTGGGGCAACTCTTACTCACAGGTGGGAACTGGAGGGCCTTACCTGCATCTCTGTTTTAGCTGGTCTTTGCCTATTCAGAATTGCAGGTATAACCTGAACTTGCACTGTAAGACCTGGGTAAGGACCATGGTTCATCCTACAGCTCTGAGTCTGTGACTTTGATGTATGTCCCAGGACACCTGTGATCACTCATGGGGACTGGGGAAGGCCCTATCTGCACCCCGCAGTTCCAGGCTTGCATTTGCTAATACAATCTCTAGAGTAATCTGTGATCAACCTGGCCTCTCCACTTCTGATCCTGCTCCCTGCTGACAATCTGGGAGCTAGATGCTTGGGCCACTGCCAACCAAATGAAAGACCCAGATAAGTGACTCAGATGGAGTTCCAATATCCCAGCTTCAGCTTGTCTCAGGCCTGGCTGTTGTGGCCATTTAGGGAGTGACCAGCAATTGGCAGATTCTCTCTCTCTCTCTCTAATTCTGCCTTTCAAATAAAATAAATAAATCTTTTCAAAGATGGAGTCATGGGCCGGCGCCCCAGCTCACTAGGCTAATCCTCCACCTGTGGCGTTGGCACCCTGGGTTCTAGTCCTGGTTGGGGCACCGGATTCTATCCCGGTTGCTCCTCTTCCAGTCCAGCTCTCTGCTGTGGCCTGGGAAGGCAGTGGGGGATGGCCCAAATGCTTGGGCCCCTGCACCTGCATGGGAGACCAGGAGGAAGACCACTTGGCTCCTGGCTTCGGATAGGCGGAGCACGCTGGCCGTAGCAGCCACTTGGGAGGTGAACCAATGGAAGGAAGACCTTTCTCTCTGTCTCTCTGTCTCTCACTGTCTAACTCTGCCTGTCAAAAAATAAATAAATAAAACATGGAGTCATTAGGTCTAATCTGAATGCATTGTTTCTAAGTAAAATGTCATGGCAAGATTGAATCTGTACTATAACAAGCCAGGAAACCACCAGAAGCTTGTCAGAGCCCCAGAACAGACCCTTCCTCAGGACCTTGAGAGGGAGTATGGGCCTCCTCTCAGCTCTCCTTCAAGTTGCTGGATGTTAAGAGTCCTGGAACAAGAAGCCTCTGTTGTTCTAAAGCACCCACCGTATGTGAATGGTGTAAGCTAATTTAGTCTTTAGCCTGGGGAAATCCAGTCTGACAATAATAGTCTAACTGGCAGGGTTTAAAAACTTTTTTAAAGATTTATTTATTTTTAAGGTAAAAATTACAAAGAGCGAGGGAGAGACAGGGACAGAGAGAAAGAGAGAGAAATCTTTCATCTGATGATTCACTCCTCCGATGGCTGCAGTGCCAACATTCATCCTGGATGAATCCAGGAGCCAAGATCTTCATGCAGGTCTCCCACGTGGATTGCATGAGCCAAGTACTTGGACCATCTGCTGATGCTTTTCCCAGGCCATTTTCAGGCAACTGAATCAGAAGTGGAATTAACAGTACACAAAATGGTGCCCATAGGGGTATCGCGCAGGTGGTGGCAGAGCATGCTACCCCAGACAGTCATGCACCAGAAAGTTAATAAAAACTAGGAAAGTTTTATCTGTGCAAGATTCCTTATCTTCTCTACCCAGACATTATTTCATTAATAATACACTTTTAGAAGCCGGTCTTGTGGAGTAGTAGGCTAAGCCTCCACTCATGTTGCGCAATTTCAAAGACTATAGTTTTCTTGTTTTTTCATTTCAAAGAAACCTCAGTAAAATGTAGATTTTCATCTGAAACACATGTGATGCAAATAATTTTCTAAGTATGCTTTATGTATTTTGTTGATTTGTCCTGAAACTTATAAGATATTTTATATCTAGATAAGTAAGTCTTTAATACATTATGATCTGATATTATCACATGGGTAAATGACATTATTTATGCAACTAAAAGAAATGAAACCTTGATATTTTTATTGGATTCATGAAAAACTGATAAACTGTTAAAACCTCACAATTTGTTGAAAGAAGTAACTCCTCCTGTTTAAGAACACGCAGTCATCAACATTTTCATCTAAGAGCCTTCAAAAACATTAATACACAGATGGACAGTGATGCTGGATTTTACTCTAATTTTAGTGATAAATTCGGTAAATTCTCTCCTTATGCACTTTACTACTCTACTTACAACAATACGGTTTTGAATTCATGCACACTAAAGATGAAGGCTGTACAGAATTCACTAAGTGTGATAGACACTTTGAGATGCAATGACTTTGAACAGCCCTGTCTCGACTGTTGTAGAACAGGTTTTTTGTTTTGTTTTCATATGATTTGTTGAGCTCTTTACTTAGTATAGAGTTAATTGTTTGCGAATTACGTTAATTGAAGATAGCTCCTAATACCATAGAAGGATGTGAACAGGACAGGGAAGAGGAGGAGTGGTGGGAGGGCGGCTAGGGTGGGAAGAATCACTATGTCCCTAGAGCTGTACTTAGGAAGTTTGTACATCTGAAGTAAAAGGTTTTGGGGGGCGGGGAAGAGAGGGAGAGATCAGAACCCAGGTGAGGTTGGTTTTTGATTGCTGTACTCAGGAAGACGCTGACGCACAGGGGTCGCTGTCTGGTGCTGAGGCCCACGGAAGGCAGCAAGGCGGGCATCCGCCAGCACAGGAGAGCCCGGGAGGGAGCACTTCGCCCGCCCTCGCCGCCCACTCCCAGGCCCCTTACCTGTTCATCCGGTCGCGGTCATTCACGCTGCTTTTCTTCAGCAAGAGGAGGTGCTGGACCCTGGCTCCATCCCCGTCGCTGGCGGCCTTTTGGAGCTTCCGGAGATCCTTGTGTCGCATGCGGTAGCCGAATTTGGCTTCAATGCCATTCTCGCACCCGATGGAGGACCTCTTTGAAGCCCACCAGACAATTTTCCTCATCCTCGAGGCTACTAGTGGCGTTTCGCTGCTTCTGGAACACAAAAACACGGCAATCAACTGGTCGGACCACCACGGTGCCACAGCGCGGCTCCGCAGTCTGCAGTCTCTCAGCTCAGAATGAACAGCCGTTGCCAAGCAACGCTGCTGTACACATTCCGCAGTGTGCGCCTGAGAAGGTGGAGGCGACACGCATGCGCACAAAGGCCTTGTGGGCACAGGGCATCAGTGCACAAGTGTCAAGTCGTGGTCTCTCACATAGGAGCGACTCCAAAAGTCAAAGGCGGTGGAGACCCTTATCCACAGCGAGGTAAGCCCCATATGGGACAGCAATACCACATGTGTTGCCCATGTGTAGAAATCAGCTTTCATTCATGTTTCATTTCCTATATTTCACACATACACACAAACGTGGATCTTCACTGTGAATTTTACTAAATTGTACAAAAAAAATCATTGTTAAAATTACATTTGCTACTTTCAAAAATACTGTGTGGAGTAAGCAAATGCCTCTTGTTGGTTAATGTGTTTATAATTTAAACGTGGCTATCTAAAGTCTTTTGTCATCAACAGTTTTGTATCTCAGATGTGTGGCTCATAAAACTAAAACATTGTTGGTTATGTGTCTAACTGTCCTACTAGACTCGGAGGGATTTTGTATTCAGTACTTTGGGATGACTCTGTAAGCAGATGAAACCAATAATGCACTACAGGTTCCAAATGGGAGAAGGTATGGTTAATCAAGGTTACTAAGAGCAGCAGGTGATTCTAATCTATTGGTAATAAAAACAAAGATTTTAAGAAGCTACTATTGAAACAAAAACAAAACAAAACAAAACAAAATGACATTTGCATATAAAATCGGAGACAAGTTTACCACAGCGCCAGCTCCACATTAATGCATTTTCATTCCTCCTGGATTATGAGCACTGATTTCTCTTAACAGGTTTGCACTGGAGAACACACTTCCATCATCTTTGAAATCACAGTCACAGCCTGTTGTCCGTGCATCTGCTAAATTCCACTGGCGACAGGCTGGAACACCAAGAGCTGTGGAAGGGTAATAAACTGAGACGTGAAGATTTCTAAACAAAATATGGGGGGAGGTGGCACTGTGGCATAGCAGGAAAAGCCGCCACCTGAAGTGCTACCGGCATCCCTTATGGGCGCTGGTTCTAGTCGGGGCTGCTCCACTTCCGATCCAGCTCTCTGCTTTAGCCTGGGAAAGCGGAAGATGGCCCAAGTCCTTGGGCCCCTGCATCCACCTGGGAGACCCGGAAGAAACTCCTGGCTCCTGGCTTTGTATCGGCACAGCTCTGGCCATTGCAGCCAATGGGGGATTGAACCATCAGATGGAAGACCTCTCTCTCTCTCTCTGCCTCTCTGTAACTCTGCCTTTCAAATAAATAATTTTTTTTTAAAAAAAGGAAGTGTGTTGGGTAGTTTTCTGAGGTAGGAAACTTCAACTTCTTGAGGTTCCATGCTACTCAGGCCCCAGTTGTATGCATAGATTCCACCCTACAGGCAGAGGGAACTTTCTTTCCCTAAATGGTGCAATACTCAGTCAAGTGTCAGTGATTTTGTTTCTTCAATTTTTTGGATTAGCATGAAATCCCTTATATTTTATGGAGTATTGTGCAATATTCCAACAGTTACGTGTAGCATAAAACTGGCTATAGTTACCCTGCTCTTCTGTGGAACACCAGGGCCCATTACCTCGACTCAGATGCATTGTGCTGCTCATTACCAGACCTCCTGCCATGCTCCGTATTTCACAGGCACAATTTGTAACTCTTAATGCTAAAACTGAGTGAAATAGGAATAAATATGGTTGACATTGGAAAAATCATTTACTGTGTGATAGAAGCACCAAAACCATTTGTAAATTCAATCTGTATGAGTTGGAATTGAAGGACTAGTGCATGAGGGCTGTTATGTTTTACTTTTTTTTTTTTTTTTTTTTTTTTTTTTTTTGACAGGCAGAGTGGACAGTGAGAGAGAGAGACAGAGAGAAAGGTCTTCCTTTGCCGTTGGTTCACCCTCCAATGGCCGCCGCGGCCGGCGCGCTGCGGCCGGCGCACCGCGCTGATCCGATGGCAGGAGCCAGGAGCCAGGTGCTTTTCCTGGTCTCCCATGGGGTGCAGGGCCCAAGCACCTGGGCCATCCTCCACTGCACTCCCGGGCCACAGCAGAGAGCTGGCCTGGAAGCGGGGCAACCGGGACAGAATCCGGCGCCCCGACCGGGACTAGAACCCGGTGTGCCGGCGCCGCTAGGCGGAGGATTAGCCTAGTGAGCCGCGGCGCCGGCCGTGTTATGTTTTACAAAAACATCCAACACACGTTATCAAGTTTGAATCCTGGCATGCTATCTATGTCTACAAACACATTAACTATTCTGTTTTTAAAAAGAAAGTATGAAACATCTGATATATACAGAATCAATTGCTTATCTCCACTTAAAAACAAATTCTCAGTTTTCCCAAATCTGTATTACTTCCATGGGCCTTTTACTCACAACTGGGATTGCCAGCAATTCCCAGATTTCATGACTGACATGAATAATAAGCCCCATGACATGAAATTTGGGAAATCAGAAGCTGTCATTTGCAATTGTTTCCATAATGAAAGCAAGGTTTGGTTGCAGTGAGATTTTTCTACCACTTTGAGTAAGTTCCCACATGTGAACAGCAACAATCATATTGTAGTACTTTGGCTGTTTTCTATCAAAAGACTGTTGTAATGCTCTTAATTCCACCTTGGAAATACTATTCACAAAGCACCCATGGTGACCTGTGTGTACACAATTATCATTTCTATTCCTACCACTCCTCATGAATCTGGCCACAACAATGACTCTGGTCTGCTCATCCTCCTTGATGGTAAGTCTCTCTAAAGGCAAAAAATGTGGTGCAGAGTCCGGCAGTCGGCGGCTTGAGTTGGCCCTGGCGTCAGCTTCAGGTAGGCATTTCAAATTAACAGCTTGGGGAGGAAAACTTGGCATAATAGTCATAATCTGCTAAATGAAGGGAAAGGAAGATAGGCAGTCAATTGCAAGGGAGTTTTTTGCTAAGACCTTATTGATGAATTCCTTATATGCTTTCCTCATATTTAGTCACATCCTTAATCATATTTGCTAGTTGAAAGAAGGAATCTGGCTGGCAACGCGACTCAATAGGCTAATACACCCCAGGGTTCTAGTCCCGGTCAGGGTGCCGGATTCTGTCTCGGTCACTCTTCTTCCAGTCCAGCTCTCTGCTGTGGCCCGGGAGTGCAGTGGAGGATGACCCAAGTCCTTGGGCCCTGCACCCGCATGGGAGACCAGGAGAAGCACCTGGCTCCTGGCTTCGGATCAGCGCGGTGTGCCAGCCGCAGCAGCCATTGGAGGGTGAACCAACAGTAAAAGGAAGAACTTTCTCTCTGTCTCTCTCACTGTCCACTCTGCCTGTCAAAAAATAAATAAATAAATAAATAAAACAAACAAAAAAAACGAAAGAAAGAAGGAATGTTGCCTGTTTTATTTGTTGTATTTCTAGAGTAGAGGAATATCTGGTACATAACAAACATGCATGGAATTTATGTTCAGTGAATGAAAGAATTTATATTTCATAAGAAAGAAGAATTTGTACTTTAAAAATAAGTCAAGTCGTTTTGGCACTTTTAGGTACGTCACAAACTTCCTTGTGTTTACTTTATTTGGGATCGTCTTCCTCTTATGTTCTTTGTATTGTTCTACTTGGGCTCTTATAACTGGTGATCATCCCTTCATGGTTTCACTTTGTTGTGAGGTATAACTATGTTCTGTGACTTCACTGACAGAAACTATAATTTCAGAAATCTTTGATTTCAACTTTTCTTGAAGTGTAGTATTGCTTCATTCTTTTTTTTAAAATTTTTTTTTTTTATTTTTGACAGGCAGAGTGGACAGTGAGAGAGACAGAGAGAAAGGTCTTCCTTTGCCGTTGGTTCCCCCTCCAATGGCCGCTGCGGCCAGCGCACTGCAGCCGGCGCACCGCGCTGATCCGATGGCAGGAGCCAGGTGCTTCTCCTGGTCTCCCAAGCGGGTGCAGGGCCCAAGGACTTGGGCCATCCTCCACTGCACTCCCGGGCCACAGCAGAGAGCTGGCCTGGAAGAGGGGCAACCGGGACAGAATCTGGCGCCCCGACCGGGACTAGAACCTGGTGTGCTGGTGCCGAAAGGGGGAGGATTAGCCTATTGAGCCACAGCGCCAGCCTGCTTCATTCTTTAAATTAAAAAAATATATATTAAAAAGAGAGACGGGGCCAAAGAGATGGAGCTTTCTATTTACTTGTTCACTTCCTAAATGCCTGCAATAGCCATTGCTGGGCCACGCTAAAGCTAGGAGCCTGGAAATCAAAGTGACTTTCCCACGTGAGTGATGGCCACCCAAGTGCTTGAGCTATCACCTGCTGCCTCCCAGGGTATACATTAGCAGGAAGCCAGAATTGGAAGCAGGACTGGGGCTTCAGCTCAGGACCGTGATTTGGAGATGTCCTGTGCCAAACGCCTGCTCCTATTCTTTAATCTTGGCTTTGTCATTTCTAGGAATATATGACATCATTTAAAAACCTTTTGCTACTTAGCCTCCCACTATATTATTGTAAGTGTTATATTATATTTAGTATTATTTTAATGTCAGCTTTGCTATTATACATTTTTGTATAGTTTTGAATAAATTATTAATTGTACAGATCATAATTATTTAAAAATAAATAACTTGAGCTATATGTTACCTATGCCTATTTGTAATATTCTTCACTGTTTGCTCTAGAGATTATGGGATATATCCTAATTTATATAGTGTCCATTGGATTAATATAATACTACTTCACATAAAATGAGAAAATCCATTTATTTGTGACAAGTATACTAATATGCTAATAATAGGGAAAGTGGATGATGGGTATATGGGAACTCAATTTTTTTAGAAATTTTAAACTATAAAGTAAACATTTTGAAACTAAGATACTTATAATAATTCTATTTACTTCCCCCTCATTGTGTAGTGGTTGTTGTATGATGCTTAATGACACCTATTAGTTATTTTTATTTTAGACAATTATCTTTTTTGAAAATCTTTTTTTTTTTTTTTTAATTTGAAAGGCAGAGAGAGAGAGAGAGATATCTTCCATCTGCTGGTTCATTCTGCAAATGGCAACAGTAACCAGGTCCTGGCTGGACCAAAGCAAGGAGCTAGGAGCTCCGTCCTGGTCTCCCACATGTCAGGGGCCCAAGCACGGGGGTCCTCTTCTGTTGCCTTTCCACTTGCATTAGCAGGGAGCTGAATCAGGAGCAGAATAGCCTGGGTTCCAACTGCAACTTGGATTTGGGATACCAGCATCTCAAGCGGTAGCTAATCCTCTGTGTCACAAAACCCCAAACAGTTACTTCTTCAAGAAATTGAAAAAAGAAAAAAAAAGAAAAAAGACCTTTATGTTTTCTTAAACATTCACCAGAGTTCTCTCTTTGTCTAAATTTTACCTCAAAGTAGTGTGTCTCTTGTGTGAACTCTCGTAGCACATATTCTGGACCATTTATTTGTTCTATATGACTGTACAGTTAGTATTGTTCCATGTATATGTCAAACTTTACCAGTTCTTGGTTATTTTTTGAGAAGGATCACCATTTATACATTTTTAAATACTTTAAACATAGTGCCTTATACAAAATGAACAACTGTACTTGTTTAAAGCGTATAATAATTTACGGAAATTTTGTTCTTTTATCTGAGAATTTGAATAATCTTCAGGTTTGAGTTGTATTATTGCAGTTCACCATTAGATGTCACCTTTAGAACATTTTATATTTTGACAACAATTTCCTTATTATAAGGTTTATCTAATTCTGATGACTAGCACTCCTGAGAAGTTTCTGTACATGTTAAAAATGTTCATAAGTTGTGATTGTAATTTTTAAATCTTAGTAGTATGTCTAAGTGCATATGGAACTACTGATTTTCCTTAAGTCTTTTTTTTTTTTTTAACTTATGTATTGTATTTGAAAGTCAAAGTTACAGAGAGGGCGAGGCAGAGGTAGAGAAAGAGAGAAGTGTGCCCTCTGCTGGTTTATTCTCCAAATGGCTGCAATGGCCAGTGCTGGGCCAGGCTGAAGCCAGGAGCTTCATCCAGGTATCCTACATGGTTGCAGGGGCCTAAAGATTTGGGCCATCTTCCAGTGCTTTCCTAAGGCACATTAGCAGGAAGCTGGGTCAGAAGTGGAGCAGCCAGGACTGGAACTGGCGCCTCTATGGGAAGCTGGTGCTGCAAACAGTGGCTTTACTGCTATGCCACATCCTAGGACCCTAAGCCCTCTTTTTTTTTTTTTTTTTTTTTTTTTTTTTTAAGATGTGTCTATCTATTTGAAAGGCAGAGTTAGAGAGGGAGACACACACACACACACACACACAGAGAGAGAGAGAGAGAGAGACAGAGACAGAGAGATTCAGTCAGAGAAATCTTCCCTTCACTGGTTCACTCCCCAGATGGCTGGCTCTGCAGGTGGTGACTTAACCCATTGTGCCACAAGGCTGGACCCTCAAGTCCTCTTAAAATGTAAATACTGGCATTATTATTTTATTTTTCTTTACACATTTATTCATTTATTTGAAACAAATAGAGCTAGGGTGACAAACACCACATGGGGAAAGAGAGAGAGAGATCTTCTATCTGTTGGTTCGTTCCCCAAATGTCTGCAAAGGCCTGACTTTGGGCCAGGCCAAAGCCTGGAGCCTGGAACTCCATCTGGGTCTCCCATATATTTTTTTTTTAAAAAGTAATTCTCCTGAGCAAGGTTTGTAGTGATTAGAAGTAATGATGGGAGGGCCAGCACCCTGGCTCACTTGGCTAATCCTCTGCCTGCAGTGCCAGAATCCGATATAGGCACCGGTTTCTAGTCCCGGTTGCTCCTCTTCCAGTTCAGCTCTCTGCTGTGGCCCAGGAAGGCAGTGGAG